CCATGGGTTTCTGTGTGCTGGGCCCCCAGACCTGGAGCGGGAGCGGGAACGGGAGCATATCAGATAATCAATTACAGACGCCTGTGGCGCGTGCCGCCTTCTGTCAGTGGCCCAGAGTTCCATTGACTGCGGATCTGATCGCGTTTTTTGGGTTGTGGGTTTCGAGGCGATCGCCTCTTTCCCAGCATCCATTGTCTGGGTTTCTCCTCGTCTTTGTTTTTTGTATTTTTTGTGTTTTTTGTTCCTTTTTGTTTACGTTCACCGTCTGGTTGTTGTCGGTTTCGTTTTTATGCACAGACAGGGCGAAAAAGTTGCATTCACTGGATACTCTAACCAAAAAAGGGTACCATTAGCTAGGGGATTAATTTTAGGAAATACTTCCCTCTCTTCACTCCAAACTCTGAATCAGACATGACGTCTTCTGCAATGGAATGCTATGGCCAGGGTTGTCGCCGTCTCGGATTATGCAACTCGATACCGCAATAGCCTTGCGACATCTGGCAACGCCAGCCATGGCAACAAAAGCGACCTCGGTGCGAGAACCTCCGGCAGCATGCAGGAGAAAGAAAGTTGACACGATACGCGATCACAAAGCAAAGAAGTGGAGAGAGAGAGAGAAGACCAGGAAGTAACGGCGGAACAGCAGTGTGCAGTCAATGAATGAAAGAAGAGCAGACGAAAGAAAAGCTCATGCATGTGGATTTTCCGTTTCGTTCGTGGCGTTTTCCACAGCCAAGAAAATAAGGAAAACGTACCGTTATTTATGAGCTGGAGGGTGGGGTGGGGGGCCCAAGATTGGGGCAAGTGTGTTAATTAACGGTGGCAGCTAACAAGGCATCCGGAAAGAAAAGCGAATCGGCCGTAATTCAATCTTTCTTTGATAATTTCCAATGCATTTGGAGCGTAATGAATTGGGGGAATTAGTTGGAGTTGCTTAAAAATAGATACTAATTATAAATACCGATTATGTTCCAAGCAGTACTTCCAGGAAGATGTTACAAAATGGGAATATTTTCAGCCGCCACTCCTATTAGAGACCTCGCCCCTTGTTTTCGCATTTGAATATAATTACGGCCTTAAAAATAAATGAATCACTCGCTATCGAGCTGTATCTCTTTCTTCCAGTAACCTCCACAGGTGTATGTTTGAAATACATGCTCCGATCACTTGCTGCCAAACGTGATGCTCCCCCAGATCCCAATCCCCGTCCACTCCAGCGGGCGCAATCTTATCTAATCGAACCGCCAGATACAGGCAATCTAGTCTATCCGGGCCCTAACCGGCTCTGGTTCTATCGAGGCACTCGGCCCTCGGCCACGCAAACATAAACATCGGAGGCCCTTAGTCCGCCGAGACTAGACATCTGTTTGCCATTTGATTCGATTGGAATCGACTGCGGAGTAGTACCCCCCCATTCCCCACCAGTCTCGACACTGACCTCCACGATAGGTAACCGAGGTCGCATCAGCACACAGCACCATATTAAGTGTTTGCCTTTGATTTAATGGATTTGCGTGTAAATTGCTTCTAATTTCATTTTCCTACTCTGGAAATCAGAACGTCAACCGAATGGACGGATTGACGGGCGCGATCGGGAGTAGTGGAGCGTGGAGGCGGAAAGTTGCTCCACCAGGGTTTATTATTGGACGCGACCCTAACGGTTCAAATACCATGTTCCAGCCAGTCGAACGCAAGAAGGGGCTATATATAGGAACAGGCCAACTTCCCTACCCCGAACCACCCTCCACCAGCTTGCGAGAGATATCTTTGGAAAGATTTCTTCAAAAGTGAAGCTCTTAATTGGGGAAACCCCCGGCACAGCAATTGGGCAGTTTTTTATTAACTTATCTGGAAGTGGGATATATCTTTATTAGTGCTTTAAGATTTGGATTGGAAATACACTTTAGGGAAGTGGGACTGTGAAATTGTTGAAAGTGTGGGAAAGCTAAAAATAATCAATCGCTGGAACTTTGACATTGTTCTCAGAGCTCTCGAGTGATTTTCCACAGCAGCAGCAGCAGCGGCAGCAGTGGGATGCGGGAGGGAGGGGCTTCCCCCTGAAGAATATATCCCATATTACTAGACGTAGATACATAAATTAGTTAGCTTGCAATTTGCAACACGAACGGCCTGGCGCCATATTTGCTGGAGCTTTTGTTGTTGTTGGCTGCTTCAGTGTGTGTGTGAGTATGTGAGTTTTTTTTTCCGTTTTGTGTTTCCAATTTGAATTGAGAGTGGAACGGAACGAGTGAATGCAGTTTACACTGCGGGTTGTGCAAAAACAACGGCTGGCGGTGTATGTAGTTGTTGCGGCAACGTCAGCGAATTAATCATCGGCCGTGTGAGGGAAATAAAATGCGGTTAAAACCCAGCTGGCCATGTGTGCGAGAGAGAGGTGGAGGCGGAGGGGGGTCTATCGTAATGAGCGCCTTACACCAGGGCCAAAAGCAAACGCTGACGTCACAACGGCACAGTTAACAAGCCAACCAACACACACACACTAACACTAACGCAGAGTTGCTTTGACACAATTCGCACTGTTGCTCTTAATTAATTGCAGCTCTCTTTCCCTCGGATGGTGTGTGTGTTGTTGTATTTTTAGACGTCGCTAGGTGATAAGAGCAACTACAATTTGGGTTATCAACGGCCAGAAAAACAAACTACAAAAATATGCCCATATGTATGTACACAAGTACATACTATATGAATGTACATACGTGCATGAGACAAGTAAGGAAACATCAACTGTACCTTGGGCTTATTTAGCCATTTGCGAAACGTGTCCATCCTGGAGTTGGGTTTTCAGCTGCAGCTCCACAGTTGGCTCCTCCAGCTCTCCGCTTCTCTCTTTCCACCCCCTTCTTCGTTGTTGTCCTTGTACACTACCACACAGTCACTTGCACACCTACACCGAACAGAGGCAGAGACAGAGACAGACACAGACACACGCGAACGAGGCGAACCAAACAAAACAAAGAAAGAAACGCGTAAGGCGAAAAACAATATGTTTGGTGACTGGTTACTGGTTACTGCTTTCTGCGTCGTGGATCTCTAAATGCACATTTCTGATTTTAACACTTTTTCTGAATTTTGTTCCGTCTGCTGCTGGTGCTAATTTCCGAGTGCTTTGCGTTTTTCTTTTCTTTTTTTTTTTCCTTTTTCTCACTCCACTCAACTTTTTCTCGTGCACCTCACACGCGTGACTCTCATCACTGGAAATGCATTTTCCTCGTGCGGAAACTGCTCCGGTTGCTTGTTAAAAATCACCAAATACTTTGAACGAAAGCGGAAGCTGGCTCTCGGGGCGAAAAAACCATTAAACGCGCACAGCACTCATCCGCCCTTCGCGATTCCGTCATCAGCGGAGCTCGTCCGTTCGCTTCGAAATCAACTCAACTTTAAACCATATTGTTGCAGGGAACTTTTTTACTTGATCGATGGTTTCATATCGATATTTAATATCGGTGTAGAATATAGGTGTAGGTGTAGAAACAATAATTATCGGTGTAGAGTTATCGGTATTTATTTTCTACACCTCTTTTTTAGTGTGGAAAAATACCAAAATTTCCAAAAATATTTAATGTTAAAAATTTAACAGAGAAAAATTCTGTAAAAGAAATGACCATAAGTTTTGAGCGGGACACTTTGAATACCAGTCGATATTTTTGATAAGAGCTAAAAAGTTAATTTGCAAAATCAAAATCAATCAACATGAATCAATATTATTTTAATATTCATATCAAAATTTCAATATTTACTAAAACAATATGCGAAAATAATAGAAGTTGGCCAACTTCTACCGGGAATTGTTAAATATCAATGCTCCGCCCACTCCAGGCCGTCGATTTCATGGCTTAAAATAGCTACCGTTTATGTACGAAAAATCCAAAGCGGCTTTAGAAAATGTTTTGTATTTATAGATAACTTTAAATTAAAAGTATTCATTATTAATATATTTTTTTGACGTACTTCGTACGTCTCCCGTAGCTAATGTGGCCATCCAAGAGTAGCGGAGCCCAAATTAAGCTGATTGGGTGAGTTGAACATTGGAAGAATAAATATTTGAATAAATATAAATATTTATGTTCATTTTAGAGAGATAATAATTATATGTGAGAAGTGCTCCCTGTATGTGTTAAATAGATAAGAAATTAAAAAAAAAAAACTCTAGTTTATTTTAATTTTTTTCTGTTCAAATTAATTTGTCAAAAGTTCATCGACCCGTCGAAGGACCCATATGAGCCTGTGATGCTTATAATAGTATATGTATATACTTTATTGGAAATATATATACTTTACAGGTAATAACATCGCAATATTTTCAGGACTCGCAGCTTTTCCAATTCTCGGATCCAAATATACTTTGGATAACATTATGCACCGATAAGTTTTCATCTCCAGGAAAGTCAGGAAATATGGCTTGCATGTTCCAAGATTCAAATTATGTTTATATCGGGTTTGTTTGTTTTCATCCATCACAAGGATGGACTACTTATACCCGGTACTCATCTCTTCCGCCCCACATTAATTACCCTTTAAATTTTTCTGTTAAGTAGAGCCTCAAGGAAAACAACAAATTTTGTATTTTACCCTTTTCTTAAAGCTAAAGCACATTCACATAATTCACCTTGATACTTCATTTGAAAGAAGGTCACTATAAAAAGATGTATTTATTTTCTAATATTTTTCATTTATTCAAAAATCCATAAGTTTCTGTGAAATATTTAAAAGATTTAATATTTTTAAAAGAATTCCCGGCAAAATACATATAAAGAATATTTTTCAATTTTTTTCTAAAAAAAAAGTGGTTGCCCAAATTTAAAGAATTAAAAAGGTTTATGTTTATCTCTTAAAAGTTTCGTTAATGTTGAAATTTATAGAAATTAAAACTAGTTCCAACCGAATAGATTCGTCATATCTAGTGTGATCTGGTGCGAGCTTTCAGTGTGGCAGCTTACGGAGCTTTTGGGAAAGGGCTCTAATTCAAATTTTGGCACTCAGTAAGACCGTACTGCTCACTTGTCAAAGTTGGGGTGGTTGGACCCGCGCAATCCACATTTATATCCACATTCACTCTTGTTCCTGGAAAAGTCGTATAACGTTAGCACCCGCGGACCGACTAAAAGTATTAAATAGTGTATAGTGTATCGCGACGAGAGTCTGAATAGCAATCAAGCAACACACGGAAAGCAATTCTAGGAAATAAAAATGTTCTCACGACCCAGGTGAGCGTAATTCGATTTGTTTTCCTCAGCGGGGCAAGGAGTCCGAAGGACGTTTGGGTGTGCTGTGGATTATGCAACATTGTGGCGGTGGCGGCGGAGGAGGAGCTGCCCCAGCTGGTAGCCCAGTGACCTAGTCAGACGCGTAGCCGCCAAGACTTCGTGTTACTGGCAGATGTGCCCTCCCCATTGCTATTTTCTGCAGCTTTCGGTTTCTATGAGAACAGCAACATAGGGATAGCGTTCGAGCGAGAGGGTTTCGCACATGGCCTGACATTGACCCTTATTCCGCCTCCCCTGCCCCTTCCTGTTGCGGCCAAACAGCTGGCGGCTAGATATTTTCACTTTTCATTAGCAATTGCATAAGTGCTTCTCTTTTTTTTTTTGAAATTTCCGTTTGTACCTTTCCGTGATGTTGCCAAAACAACAATCAGCTGAAAAAATCAATGCAACACCTTCAAAGTCCATGGACATGGACACGGGCACATATTCACAAATTGTCTGGCGAAATTCTAAATTTAGTGTGTATACCCAAAAAACAAATAAATGTGTGTTTCGCTTCTGTAAGCGTTTTTCGTTGCCAAGTTCACCGAAAAGTTTTCAGCTGGTCCGCTGGCTGGCTGTCTCTTTCCCACGCAAACCGTTAGCGGGCCTCATACCAAAAAACACAAATCCGACTGGCAAACCAGAGTTTGTTGAACTTTGCTAGCCTCCATGGCTTCTAGGGTACAATTCCTAGGGCCCGGACTTTAGGGCCCGAAATATGACAAACGCAGTACATTCAACAGCCCCCCAACAAAAAAATTTACGGCACGCTCTCATTCCGTGTAGATTCCGTAGATATGCGAAATTATTTAGCACTTGACAAGTGCTCATGTGAGTTCCGTACGAACAGCCACAAAAAAACTGAATTGACGAACGATAATGTTACCTAAACGATAATTATCAGTACGGGCCACTCGTAGAGGAAGGTATTCTCTGGACGCTTTCACGTCACTAACTGGTTACAACCCGTATCCGATCGGAATCGCTGGCGATATTCCATTCCATCATCAAAGAACCGCAAACATTAGTCACACGCCTCTGTTTCTGTGCTATGCCCCTAGCGTAATTAGCACCAGCTAATGGAATTGAACACTAGCGAAAAAAATATCATAACACAACTCCGGTCAATCAAATAGCACCCCATGACCAGTTCGAGTGGGCTTTCCCACTAATTACTAAAAATAATGTTGAAGTGTTTATTATTTTAATCAAGTGATTGTTCTGTAACCCACTTTAAATGTATTTTTCCTACTTGCTGATTAATCTAATCTTTTATTTTTAATTTTGAGAATTGCACTTCATGGAGTTCATGTATTAAATTAAAAAGTAGGGAAATCATGCGCTTGAGTTGTGTAACTTGAGAGCCCATGAGTGGCTGTGTTTAAAAATAGTTCCCTATTGTACTTCTTGTATAAATAGTAGCTCCACTTAAAATTGTTTTTTTTTTAATTTTTCATTGGTGTTTTAAAGAGTGTTCCTAACGTTATGACTTCATCTGTCTTGATTTTATCATCATGTTGTCGTCAAGCCATCCATCCCCCTTATCTGCAAAGTTTCTGGCCTGGGTGGGGGGACTGCTGTAAACAATGCGGCTTAGTTTCCTACTTCTACGTATATTTTATTTTGGCGTGCCCCACGCGGTGATAAACAAAAAGCAGCTGACGCCGACCTTGAGCAAAGCTTTTGCAGAGCGGTGGGGATGGTGGGTGGATGGGCAGGGGGCAGGGAAAGGCGGAAGAGCACTTGTGTTGCAATGTCAAGAATGTCAGCAGGGGTAGCCCATCCTCAGCCCCACTGAACAGTCGCACAGTCAAGGGTGTCAGGGGGGTCCTCCAATTGATAAAATGGCACACGTAATGGCACACACTCTTTGCAATTTTCAGCTTATGTGGAACTGTGGGCAAATTGTGCCGGTGCGGTACTTCAGCGACGGCAACTGCAGCCGGAGCGCCCTCGACAGCAGCAGCTACGGTGATACCTGCCACAGCGCCGGTCGTTCGTAGGTACCAGGAGGTGTCGGGCGACATCATAACCCCTGGCCAAGTGCGGGGTATCGATCACATTCGTGATCCGCGGCTCAACAAGGTGAGACAACTATATTTAACTATTTTAAATTTATTTTCAACTGACTTTATGTTCTTTTAGGGTTTGGCTTTCACCCTCGAAGAGCGTCAGACACTGGGCATCCACGGCCTGCAGCCGGCTCGGTTCAAGACCCAGGAAGAACAGCTGCAGCTGTGCAAAATCGCCGTAAATCGTTATACGGAGCCGCTAAACAAGTACCTGTACCTGAGCGATCTGTACGATCGTAACGAGCGTCTGTTCTTCCGCTTCCTGTCGGAGAACATCGAGGATCTGATGCCAATTGTATACACTCCCACCGTGGGATTGGCTTGCCAACGTTTCGGCCTCATCTACCGTCGTCCGCACGGTCTCTTCGTGACCTTCAACGATCGGGGCCATGTCTTCGATGTGATGAAGAACTGGCCGGAACCGGATGTGCGCGCCATTTGTGTGACGGACGGCGAACGTATCCTGGGACTGGGCGATCTGGGTGCCTGCGGCATGGGCATTCCAGTGGGCAAGCTGGCCTTGTACACGGCTCTGGCCGGCATCAAACCGCACCAGTGTCTGCCCATCGTGGTGGATGTGGGCACCAACAACATTGATCTGCTCGAGGATCCTCTGTACGTGGGACTGCGCCAGAAGCGAGTTGTTGGTCGGGAGTACGATGATTTTATTGACGAGTTCATGGAGGCGGTGGTGCGCCGTTATGGCCAGAACACACTCATCCAGTTCGAGGACTTTGGCAACCACAATGCATTTAGGTTCCTAGACAAGTACCGCAACACATACTGCACCTTCAACGACGATATCCAGGGCACCGCCGCCGTTGCTGTTGCTGGCTTGTACGCGTCCAAGCGCATCACGGGCAAATCCTTCAAGGATTACACTTTCCTCTTTGCTGGCGCGGGAGAGGCGGCCATTGGAATTGCTGACCTGACTGTTAAGGCGATGGTTTCGGAGGGCGTGCCCATCGAGGAGGCCTACAACAAAATCTACATGGTGGACATTGACGGCTTGTTGACCACGACCCGCAAGGTGGGCAGCCTGGAAGGTCACAAAGTCAACTACGCCAAAAACATTGAGCCAATGACAGATCTCAGCGAGATCGTCTCCACCATCAAGCCAAGCGTAAGATACTAACTTTGAGTTGTTGCTTTTAGCTTCTAACTTGTTTAAATGTTTAAATTTAGGTGCTCATTGGTGCATCGGCTGCTGCTGGCATTTTCACTCCACAAATCCTGCGCACCATGGCCGACAACAACGAAAGACCCGTGGTCTTCGCTCTATCCAATCCCACTAGCAAGGCCGAGTGCACGGCTGAGGATGCTTACCAAAATACGGATGTGAGTTTACTTTTTTTTACTAAAATATTTATAAACAATAATAAGTATAATATTCTTACCGTTTAGGCTCGTGTTATCTTCTCGTCGGGCTCTCCATTCCCACCTGTTAAAATGGGCGACAAGACCTACTACCCCGGCCAGGGAAACAATGCTTACATCTTCCCTGGAGTGGGACTGGGCGTTATCTGCACTGGAACTCACCATATTCCCGATGAGATGTTCCTGATTGCCGCCCAGGAATTGGCCAACTTTGTTGAGCCCGCCGATATCGAGCGTGGATCTCTGTATCCCCCGCTGTCCAGCATCCGAGACGTGTCAATGAACATTGCTATTGGTGTGACCAAGTGCGCCTATGACAAGGGTAATACAAGTTGCAATATCCAAAATATAAAAACATAATTGAAATAAAATTGTTTTAGGCTTGGCATCTACGTACCCGGAGCCACAGGACAAGCGCAAGTGGCTGGAGAACCAGCTGTACAACTTCAACTACGAGAGCTCGATGCCGGTGACCTGGGCCTGGCCCCGAATGCCCTACATTAAGACTCGTGAATTAGTCCCCACCAAACTCTATGGAAAACAAAGTGATAATTTAATTTTTTCTCTATTCTCTTCTAGGCGAAGAAAGCCCGCTCATTGCCGCCATCAAATAAAAAGCATAAAAGCGTTCAATTTCGGTTGACTGATTGATGGCACCACTCTGTTTTGCATCCTAACCCACTCTACTACTTCCAAGCGTTCACCATGAGCACCAAGCAACCAACCAACCAAAAATCGACTACTAACCAAGCCTACTCTAGACTAGAAACTCTAAATGAGCTCACTTTGTTTAAATGTTTGTTGAGGAATCAGTGGACTCCGTTTGTCAAGCTTGAAGGACTATTAGTTGGTACCAACTATTGCTTAATTTTTAATCATTTTACTAATCCGATCTCCCATTTAAGGGAGAGTTCAATGCCTCAAGATAGGCGACGGAGTCAACTGATTTTTGCCTAAGTGTATTTTCAAAATTGTTCATAGTATTATATATGTATGCCAGTTTTGATATTTGTATAAATTATCATGTTTATTAATTTGTGATACCAAACGACGATGCTGACGCTGACGATGACTGTGACGATGTGACTAGCGTCTGAAAAAGCAATTACGCAGTATTCTACCGTTCCCCATACTACCTACTATCCTATCTAAATTTCTTTGTGCTTTGTTTTTGGTTTGCTGTATGTAACCACCTTATTGGCTTTGCATTTCTCGCGTCTTGCCATAACCTCTAGCATTCTGTGCATCCTAGCTTTTGATCTGATCTGCTAATGTCTACTACTTACTAACTATGACGGCGGCATCAAGCGAGCTACAAATCTATAAAGAACATAGATGAAATTCACTGCTTAATTTCACCCACTCCCGAAATTCGACAATTGATTGATTTATCTATTGCTATGTTTCCCTTTCGTTGCCATACAGAAAAAGAAGAAATTATGTAAATTAGCCAACCCCCGAACCAACCAACCGACCGCCTAGAAAAATTGGCTAGACAGCAGAGCTATTAACTGGTGAGAACAACCCAACCAACCAACCAACCATGAAAACCAACCGATTCCACATGTAAAACAACTAAATTTGCTGCCGTTAACCACCAACTATCTAAATTTTGTACAATGACGTTTTTTTTATCGCTTAGTTCCCTTAAATCCATAGATATAAATGAGTCACGATTTTATTTGTTGTTGAGCCATGTCTGATATTTATTAACGCAATTACGCAGCTTTTGCTATAATTTATTGTTACAAAGGTCAACTTAGTTGTATCAATAATTAGAAATCCCTACCCCAAAACGATCGATCGGACCGATTAAGCCATTGTACCACTGACTAGATCTTGATGTGCGATAAACAATAAAAATGAAACACAAGTTAAACACTCGCGTCTCTACTTTATGGGATCCTTTGTGCCGAGTGTTTGTGAATAAGCTCCAGACCTCTTGATGTTGTGACGCGGCTTTGTTTGTTTGCAAATCTCTGAACGGTTTGAGAAATACGAGTTTTCTTGCCAAGAGAACCGAGAGGTCGAGCATGAGAGATTCTAGTTTTTTAGATCTTATTGGGGTTTGATTATTCCATTTGTTGTTACCTGCCTGGGAGGAGATGTGAGCGAAAAGATGCATTAAAATATTTGGATATTCCCAGATAGTGTTTCATAGATTTGAATTTTTTAATGGAGCGGCATCGAAAATTGTGGCAAATTAAAAACCTGAGTGAGAGTTGAGCTGGTATTTTAATTGAATCTCTTGCGCTCGCCCGAGGAGTGGAGCAAAATAAAAGTCGACTTCTCAGCTCTCCGTTTCCCAGTCGAGCTTGGAGCGTCTAGAATTCCACACATCGTTGTACGATCAGTTCAGATCCGATCAGCAATCAGCAAGCAAGTGAGATGATAACCGGCAGCCTCGTAGTCGTTGCCCTCGTGTCGCTGGGAGTGCAATCCGCTCGAGCAGGTTAGAGGAATTCTCGCGAATCCGCGATCCGACTTTGTGCAATGCTAATATTGGTGTACAATTACATGGGCAGCCTATGGCGATGACTGCAGCACTCCCGATGGCGAGTCTGGACTGTGTCTGCCCTTCTCGTCCTGTCGGAACATCGAACAGCGACTCACGGAAAGCCAGAAGACCGGCCAGAGTGTGGCCCCCGAGTTCGCAGCTTATTTGAAGAAGTCCTCATGCGGGGAGTTCAATGGAGTGGTAAGCTAATGCTCTGTATAGTGTGCATACTCTGGAAATCTTTAAGGGGAACCCCACCAGGTCTAACAGGTGTTTACTTTCAAAGTTTGCATTGTAAATAAGACTCAAGAAAGTATTCTAATTAACAAGACTTGTTTACATGGGGAATAGCTTTAAAAACCAATTAAGCTTTATGAATTAATTATTGATAGTCTTTCTAGGAAACGAAATACATGTAAGATGTACAATGTAACATCATAACTTTAATAAAATACCTTTTAAATTTTTCATTTTTACGGTTTCAGCGCCACTTTTGCTGTGCATCGAATCAAATCCAGCACAATTCCAAGACAATGGCCTTGCTGAAAGACGAAAAGTTTGACTGTGGCAACTTCCTCAACCAAAGAGTGGCCAATGGGTACGAGGTAAAGCTCTCCTCCAGGCCCTGGATGGCCCTGCTCCGATACCTACAGTTTGGAGAATCCCGATTCCTCTGCGGGGGCGCCCTCATCTCAGATCGTAGGTTTATGTTTGTGGAAAGATTAATTAAAACTTACGTATTTTATTTTGTTTTCTGAAGGCTATATCCTCACTGCTGCCCACTGCGTACACGATCATGAGTCTGAGCTGTAAGAAACCGAAATATTAATCAATAGAATGTTTTTATGCACCTTTTATGTTACCTTTAGTTACGAAATTCGACTGGGTGAGCATCGCATATCAACGTTGGAGGACTGCAGGCAGCAGGGACGTAAGAAGAAGTGTGCTCCACCAGTGTTGGATGTGGGAATCGAGAAGTACTTGATCCATGAGAAGTACGACTCCCGGCATATTATGAACGACATAGCACTGCTGCGTCTTAACACCACAGTGTCTTTCCAAAGTGAGTCTTTGATTTATTCGAAACTTTTGAGTTTAAAGATGCATATTATTTTTAGAGCACATCAAACCCATTTGCCTGCCCATCACCGATGAGCTGAAGCAACAGGCGGAGCAGATCAACACTTACTTTGTGACTGGCTGGGGCACCACTGAAAACGGGTCCTCTTCGGATGTTCTGCTCCAGGCCAATGTGCCGCTCCAGCCTCGCTCCGCCTGCTCTCAGGCCTACCGCCGGGCAGTGCCACTCACCCAACTGTGTGTGGGTGGTGGCGATCTGCAGGACTCGTGTAAGGGCGATTCCGGAGGTCCTCTTCAAGCGCCAGCTCGTTACTTGGGGGAGTTTGCTCAGCGCATGGTGGAATTCGGAATCGTGAGCCAGGGCGTAGTTTCTTGTGGCCAAATAAGTCTTCCGGGCTTATACACCAATGTAGCGGAGTACGTCCAGTGGATTACGGACACCATGGCCATAAATGGACTATAAAAGAAGTCGTAGTATCGTATTCATTAAGTAACTTGTAAAGTCTCAAATATATAGATATGATATGCATATTTGTAAAATTAATAATAGTTTGTGGTTTTATTGGGAATACGGTGATTGTACAAAAAGAATATTATTTTATGAAATGAATTAATGAGTCATATTCATGGCGAAAAATATATTTCCCTTAAAATCCATTTCTGAGTAACAGTTTTTAATGTTTGAATTATCCCCAAATTGTAGATCGGTTCCACCACTACTTCCCAGTTTCTTTCCAATTTTAAATACCTTGTTTCAGTAGAATGAGTCATTATTCGAAATATTTAAATGGGGACTGATTACACCCTAATACATAAATTATTGATATGTATATTTATGATAAATATGTTTTGAAGCTGTTGTGTTCAGTAATCCAATGTTTTAATGTGAATCATATACACATACTATACCTACAGCTCTATTCAAAGGCTTTTTATTTAACAATTAACTAATCTGAGCACAATCCAGCACGATACCTTTTCATTATTTATGAATATTTAACATCAGATTGTGCAATCGAGGTATGAGTAATGTTGCTTGAACCTCTTGAGTTAAGTTGCTCAGGGGGTAAAAGACCTCTGGAGCAAGTGTGCTATTACTAAGTTGTTAATCAAATTGAGATAATAAACCTAATATACAAGCTCTACTGAATGTTGGGTTCAGATAAGGGTCGCAAATTAGATTATAAGTTAATCAGAATTATGGTTTCATTAAGTACTTGTTGCTTCCGACCTATCCTAAGGGAAGTCAGTGTTGTTCTATACGTAGTATAATTCATCTTTTGATTTATAAACCGCATGATTTTGGGGGATTTTTTTGTGTAGCACGCATCGCGTATTTAAAGATCTTGGCAATAATGCTGGGAATTTCTGTTCTGGAAATTCCATGTTACACATATCCAAAAGAACGGGTTTCGAAGCCCGGGCGACCTGTCCCATGGGCGTAGCCGGGTGAATGGGGAACTTGAGATTGAAATGAGAAAAAATATTAATTGAGAAAAAAGTACCGCTTATAATGGGTGTTAGCCCACCTGTTGGACGCGGGCTTAAAGCGTGCCAGTCCCCGAGGCACAAGTATCCGGCAGCTCCAACTGAGATATTTATGAGATGGTGAGATTAATGCTGAGACAAAATAGAGAGAATGCGAGAGCGATCAATTTCTACTGGGGTTTCCTGGAATTTAATCACTTTTCCCGTGCTCCCACCCAATCGTCTCTAATGGCTAAATATCATATCAGCAACTAAAATAGTTCTAATTATTTAAAAAAAATATGTATATAAATATAAAAATATTATCTTTAAAAATATGACTGATGTCCTATAAAAAGTATATCGCATGCATTGTATCACCTACATACACCTATTGTATGTATTTAGTTAAACAATAGGTGTAATTTCCCACCAATGTATTTGACGCCATCTCAATATGGTAGCCAATACATGACACGGTCTCTGACTTGGCGCCAAAACCTGGTCAGAACCTGTTCCCCGACTGAGAAATCCGCTGGCTGATCTGGGATTGCGCTCGTGAACTTGGTCAGTACCGGGCATCTCGTTCGAGCACGCGATTCGCATCTACAAAAGGCCCGGCACACGACAGCTTCAGATTCATTCTAAGTTCATCGGTTGAGCGCGCGCGTTGCAAGTCCAATATCGTTATCTCATCTTCCGCACTAAACAGCAACGGCTTCGGCATCCGTACTTGGGACAGGTTTACAATTTGTGATAAACGAGGCAGTCGGAACCCCCACCAAGTCGATTAGTGAATATCACAGTAATTAGATAGGATGGGTTTATTAATTGCTAGTGTGGGCCTTTGTCTAATCTTTATTGGAATGCCACAGCTGGTTCTGAGCCGTAAGTCAGGATTTCTCAGGATTAGCCAAAAGACGTATTATTTTAAAGGAATTATCATTTCGGATTACAGAGAGTGGATGCTTGACTCAATCCGGGATTGCGGGCCAGTGTGTTCGCGCCCAGGAGTGTCCTTTTGTAACACAGCTCCTCAATGTCTATGGTGGTAACATACCAGACTATTTTCGTAATCAGTTGCGACAAATGAGGTGCAACGGCGGAAGAGCTGTAAGTCCATGGAATGAAATCTTAAGGTTGTTTATTAACAAGTTAATGTTTCCCAGGGTGCATATGTGTGTTGTCATATCAACACGTTAACTCAGCAAGTGCAAACAAAAAAAGGTGGAGGCCAATCCACTGATATAAATAGAATCGATCAGGATGGCCTTAGATTGCTACACTCAATTCAGGACTGTGGTAATAAAGGAAATCCCAAAGTCGCAGGCGGTAGGCCAGCCACACAAGGCATGTTCCCTTGGATGGCACTGCTCAAGTACGACATCGATGACCCGCGTCCATTCCTTTGCTCCGGAAGTCTTATAACCGAGAGTCACATCCTTACCGCTGCCCATTGCATTGTCGAGCGCCCAGATGTGTAAGTATTATTTAATAATAAAATAACACTATGTCAGTAATTAGGCTTACCCTTTTGCAAGCATGGCTAATTTTATTTGTTTTGTCATTTGATGAATAAGCCTTGAATTTATTGTTTTAGCATTGCTGTACGTATGGGTGAACATGATTTGGACACAGAGAGGGACTGTGCTGTTTTGGGTGGCACCAAAACTGTCTGCCAGGAGTACGAGGACTATGAGGTCGAAGATGTTCGAGTTCACCCCAAATATGTTCACGGAAAGATTCATTACGACATCGCCATTATTAAGGTAAAAGGCGTTATAAAGGCCAAATCGCACATCAAGCCCATTTGCCTGCCCATTGAGGAAAAGTCCCAGGCATTGAGCTACAACCAGGACTTTTACATCGCCGGATGGGGTCGGACTGACAAGACGGACACCCCCTCGGTACTCCAAAAGGCTATTGTGCAGCGTAAGAGTCTGGACGTGTGCCGCCAGTTCTACGGTGATGATGAAGTGAGCGACAACCACATCTGCGCCGCGGGCACCGAACTGAAGCACACCTGCCAGGGAGATTCCGGCGGCCCGGTCTTCATTAAGCATCGCTTCAAGGGCACCTTCCGATTTGTCCAGTATGGAATCGTGTCGTTCGGAGAGAGACGGTGTGGTCATAACGAAAATCAACCAGGTCTGTTCTCCAACGTACTGGACATGTTACCCTGGATCACCCAAAACCTACAGTAGATCGTCGATCAACCCGAGATGCCTGGCTTTGTCACAACTATTTATAATTACATATGTATTTATTTTTTCTAAAAACCGTAGTCTAAAAAGCTCTTGCCATAGATACTCTAGAGGATTCATAAGTTTTTTGACATTATTTAATATATTGTTTAAGCAGCATTAATCGTTTTGGAGTTTTTTTAATTTGTTTGGGAAATCGTTCAAACCTAATGAAAGTCTTAGTCAGAGCTATGATCGTTCTTTGAATAAAAAACTGATAGTTCTTTCAATAAAACCCTGTATTTGGTTTTTAGGAGCTGGTTGGAAATAGAAACAGAAGAATATTAAAGTGTATAAATAGACAATGCCAAATACAAAAGTTTGGATCTTTCGGAAATGTTTATGCCTCTATAATTAAAACAGAAATATTAAGTTCGATTCTAAATCGAAAATTCGTGGATATGGATGCTGAAAATTCCAAGACCGAAACTGAACAGCAGTTCATCACTATTGCAAACATGATGAGTCATCATTGGAACTACGCAATACATATGCACTATTCATCTATACTTCTTTTCTCGATACATCATGCAGTGTAATCGTGATTTCTTAGTATCTACGTTATTTACAAGAATCTCAGCTGGTTTTAATAAATCTGTTCCCAATATTGTTGTTGAATCTTGTGATCGAAATTCTATAGCAGTGACTCATTGTAAGAGATCAAAGGTAATACCTTTGGTATGCCATAATTTGCGGTTAGTAAAGCTGCATTTTCATTGTCCAGATATGGGACCTAATACAATCTACTTAGGACCCGGCACTGGAAGTGACATCAAGATTAATTTCGATCTGGAGTGTAATCGCTGCTACACTGATCAACTTAGTTGTCTTATAGTTGTGGGTTTTCCCATTGTGTTTTTTTTTCATTTAATAAATCGCCGCAATGACCTATGACCTTGATAAGCCCATAAATTTGATTTATTAATGCTTAGGATGGCAATTTATAAGCTCATCAGGCATGTCTGCTCCATGTGAACCTTAGCATTGAAATAAATGTGTAAGAATATAAGCTATGTTTATATTTTAATGTGTGCCATGCGACACAACAATTGGTAGATACAAATCTGATGGATACACGAAAACTTCTTTTGTTACAGAACGTCAAAAGCCGAAAGGATACGAAATCAAAGCTTAGGTGGTCAGTTCGAATTTTTCCATCGGATGGTTCACAATGAACTTTACCCGCGTCTTGTGGTTGGTATTAAAAGGGTAAGTTTTCCGCATGAATATTAACTATATTTTAATACTTTATTTTCGTTTCCTTAACAAAGGGTTCTCTATCTGGTAACATTTTATCACTCGTTGCCTTTCGTTGGAAGTGTCACCCTGTCTATGTTGAACAGCTATGTGTCCTCATCGGTCTCCTTCAATTTGGATACAATTTAGTAAGTCAGAATGTGTGACCTAAATACTATACATGTCGAATATTATAATTTTATTATTCCAGTCTCAACTGGAATTCTACCTTTCCGGCCATTACGGTGTGCGAGATATACAACGCCGAACGAATTTGGGATCTGAGTGACTCACATTTTGGCCCGGAACATGATATGCACGTGGATGATTTTATAAGTGAAATTGCCTTCTACCGGGGGGTATGCAGTAGCTGTGAAGATTGTGCCAAGCTTCGGTGTCCAGCCAACTTTACTTTTCTAGTTGAAATGGTGAGTTGGCTACAATTATTATAATATAGAATCGTTTTCTGTGTTTTAAAAAAAAACGTATTATTTTTTTGTAGTTTCGAACCAAGTGCCCGCAGTTGCTGGTCAACTGCAGTTACCTTAACGAGCTTTTTGACTGCTGTGACCAGTTCCTTCCCGTACCCACCGAATACGGATTATGTTACTCCTTTAACTCCCACCAGGCTCGCAAAGTGTCACATGTTCAGTACACAAATAATCGGATAACCGGCCCGGGTCATCTCAATTTTCATGCCGCTGCGGACATCCAGTTGTACGTTCACGCTCCCATCGATGTGCCATACCAGCTGTCCGAAGGTATGATCCGTGAAACAGTCCTTCTGGGCCATGACAAGGAGCTAATTCTGAACGTCATCGAAGTGCATAACGACGAGAGTGTCCAGGATCTGAGCATGGAACAGCGGCGCTGCAGATTTGCTCATGAACACGTTCCCGAAAGACAGGGCATATACGAGTTTTACAGCTACTCCAGTTGTGTTGTGGAGTGCACTGTGCTCCTCCAGATTGCGAATTGCAACTGCACTAGCCACTTCATGACAGTTCCAGGCCGGAATTCACTACCCGTCTGCGACTACCGAGGTCTCATCTGCTTAACCAGAATCCGGGACAAGATCATGACAGAGCGCAAGTCCTGTGAGTGCATGAGCTCCTGCGAGGAGCCGGAGTACAACATTATTTATAACTCTGCCGATGAGTAAGTTTTGAACGAGCAAACCTCCTATATGAGGCCTAAAAGCCGACAAAAGGAGGACCTTGAGTTTGGAATACTACAATTTTTTAAAAATAATTCCTTTTAACATATTTCTAGAGACGACGAGGCGTCAAACGACCTGTCAAAGATCCGAGTGTCTCTGGTGGAGCTACCCACCCAGCGTTATGTTCGTCGAGTGACTAAAACTATTTTGGACTTTCTAAGTAAGCTCGGTAGCCCAAAAAACGACATGTTCCTAATGCTCCTTTCTAATCCCTTTCGGCAGTTTCCCTTGGTGGCCTCGTGGGTCTCTTTTTCAACACATCCGCCCTGCGAATTGTGGAGGCCGTGGTATTGACCATTAGATACAGGAAAACTATAGTTAATGGGGTTAAACGGTTTTTGCTTGGCACGATTAAATATATACAGATTTTGGACCAGTCAAAGTAAATCACAATAAAATCAAAATTGTCTTTCAAATGGGGAGAATGGGAAGGGAATGCAGCTTAGCTTCTAGCCATTTTTTGTGCCACATAAGCCACATTTTCTCCAGGATTAAGCCAAGCTGGAGGCGTCACAAACTGCATAAGGTTTTGAAGGTAGTTCGGCAGATAAACACAACTGGAGAAGATTACCAGAGTCATCATAATGAGGAAGAATCCATCTAGAAAAACCAAATTCTGCATTTGTCATACTGTAATATGTTTTGTGCCAATACTCACTGATTAACTTCCTTTCCCAGGGCTCCAGCATGTTGATGCAAGTAACCAGTTCGTACTGGCGGTAGGCGTGAGATGCCAATTCTTTAAAATTAAACATTATGTGTAGGATTAAAGTCCAACGCCGTGACAAAGAGTTAAATCCAGTTGTAAACAAAACAGCAGAGTCAAAAACAGCTGATTAAACATATGGCTTTTAAAAGGAGATAGCGTTCTCCAGCACTGGTTCGATTTTTCGATTTCGCGGCCTCTAGGTTTGAAAATATTATTTTTACCTCCTATGTCTCCACTTAGTGCCTTACATAGTTATTTTACCTAGGTTATTTAGTCCAAGAATTAATCAAAGATTTATTTTCTTTTAAAAAAATTGTTCTTAATGCCTTATTGGGTCTTTGGGATCTACAAATTTTTAAATGTTTACGAAAAAAAATAATAATTTTTTCAAAAACATCTCTATCTCCATAGATGATAAAATAACTAAGTTGCCAGCCTGATTATTGGATCGCTATGGTGTAAATTTTCTTGATCTTCATAGGATTGGGGTATTGGGTCACATTAACACTTCGGCTCTTAGGCATAGGCGGAGGTCCTTGAAATTAAAGCCATCTGAAGATGCTATTTTGATTTGTCTTTTGACATAGTCCGCAAACTTTTTGAACACATGGAATAGACTTCTTTAACCTTTATAATAAAAAAGTAAAAGGAATAAAAATTAAATACGAGGATTATCTGCCGTAAATTATAATTCCGGAAAAGATTTGGTAAAAAAAAAAAACTTTAAAAGGCTATTATTAAAGACACACAATATACTATGCTAGTGCTTATGTAGTAGACCGTGCTGCCCTTCGATTTCGATGGCCCTTGTCAATGTAAAGAAAGCTCTTGAAAGCAATTCCAATCTATTCCATTTGGATTTTATTTCCTTCGAACAGATTTCTACAGGCTCATGGCCTTAATATAATCTATATCATGAAAATGTTTAAATAATTTATTTTTTTTTTATTAAAATGCAGGTTTTAAACTCTTGTTAGGTCTTAAGCTAGCGTCTAAAAAACCTACTAGGGGCTATACAAAACGGCGTAGAAGTATTATTAGAAGCACTGACAAGATTAAAAGCCAAAGATTGAAGTGAATCTCGGCGACCCCATTCACAGAGTCAGTACTATTATAACGTCTTAAACGTTTCTGGCCAAAGTTATGAAAAAGAACTGTTCCATGTCGTTTTGATTCCTCTTTAATTGTGAGGTTGAATGAATTTTGAGGTGTATCCTTCCAGCAAACGAAGTTCAAGTCATCCACCAAACCTAAGGGGTATGGTAGGCAAGCGATTGCGCTGGCATACGCTGCAATTGGGTCCGGAAGAAATCCGTTTCTGGTTCCGCACATAATTCGATTCATACTTTGAAAGTACACATGTGTGCATTTTTCAAGGCCCTTGACGTTAAACACTGCCATCAAATCTTTAGCGTCGTTCCGCCTGAACACCGAAAATGGTTCCAAAAGTTTCACAAGTCTTCTATCATAGCGCGAAAGTAACTTTCTTGGGTAAAGACCGGAGCACAACCTATTCCAGTGGTCGGCTCTAAACATATGACAGCTTTGTATGTCTTTGTAAGAGTGGGAGTAGACTATTTTTTTATCCCCCATGGTTGAAGAATACACTATGTACTCTTCCTACGGAAGTATAAAAATAAAATGCAAATTTTGTTGTATTGATAACTCAAAATTTTGAATCTGAATAAAAACTCAGAGCTTAAACTTCATAAAAAGAAGAAACAAGAGAAGTGATTCTCTATTTCTTCCAAAACCTACAAATTTATGAACAATTCCTTTTTATAATTTTTATTTTTAAAGGTTTGTTAAGTATAGTCGCTCCATAGCCGTCGTTTCTTGTTTTTTTACAATATTCTTTGGAAAATAAAAAAGTCTAAAAATCTCACCGGGGCTAAGTTAAACGGCTTAAAAGTATTATAAGAACCACTGACAAGATTAAAAGCCAAACATTTAAGTGAAACTCGGCGCCTTCATCCACATTGAAAGTAATATTTTGACTTTTATAGTGTAAGTGCTTTTTAAGGCGTTTTTGACCAAAGTTATAGAAAAAAATTGTCCTATGACCTGTTTTTTCGTGACTTTCAATGGATTTTAAGGTGTATCCTTCCAGCAAACAGAGTTTAGCTCATCCACCAAATCTAGAGGGTATGATAGGCAAGCGAACACGTTGGAATATGCTTCAACTGGGTCAGGAAGAAATTCGTTTTGGATTCCTCATATAATTTGGTCCACATTTAGGAAGTATAAATGTGTGCATTTTTCAAGGCCCTTGACGTTAAACACAGCCATCATATCTTTAGTGTCTTTCCGCCTGAACAACGAAAATGGTTGCAAAACTTTCACAAGTCTCTTATCATGGCTTGAAAGTTATTTTTAAGATAAATGTTGGAGTACAACCTAGTCCAGTGGTCGGATTTAAACGTAGTGCAGCTCGGTAGATTTTTTCTAAGTTTAAGAATTGACTACTTGTGGATCCCCCATGGTTAAAGCATACACCATAAACAACTAAACACCACAAACAAAACTCAACGAAACTGAAACTGAATAATAACTCAGTGCTTAAACTTTGTAAAACTCTAGAAAAAAGGTAGTAATTAGTATTAGTATTGAAATATTGAATATCATTAAATTTTTTGGAGTATTTTTATAGAGGAATGTCCAAAACATTTGTAATAAAATAGTTTCATAACAAATTTGTATGAGGAAAGTTTTGGAGACGTGTTGTTTTGAACATGATACAATTATATAATTATAATTACAATTATAATTGTATCATGGTTTTGAAATAATTTCATACGGATCGGCCTACTATATTTTATAGCTGCCATATAGCTGAACAATCAGAAATTACCCAATTTTCGTGTTTTTGAAAATAGTTGGAGTTTCGTACAGATTATATTTTTGGTCAGTTGATCCGACCCAATTTTCATAACGATCGGCCGACTATTTCTTATAGCTGTCGTATAACTGAACGATCGTAATTGGTATTTGTTTGGAAGTTTGGAACTTTTTTTGATATTTTGTATTCTAATAAATTGGTTATATTATGATATTATCATAAGGATCGGCCAACTATATCCGAGTTTTGCGATATATATCCGGTTTTCATTGCAAGGGTATATCAACTTCAGCTCCGCCCGAAGTTAGCTTTCCTTTCTTGGTTTTCCTCTTTACGAATGTAACGGTCGATGCTGTAAATGCCCATATTGTAAAAAAAAGTGTGTAGCGTCATCCAAGATTTTATTTTATAAAATATTTTAATTAGTTAATTTAGTGTTAACGTTACCAGCGTTATGACATTATCAGGTTTGAATTTTTTCTTTAAACACTTTTTTTCTTTTTTCTTTAAGACTTCCCCTAGAGTGACTCATCTTTTTTTCTGAATGTATTTTTATTTCCGTACTCGTAGAGCGCCCCTTAAAACCGCATAAAATATATATATTCTAGATCAGCATCAACAGACAAGTCGATATAGCCATGTCCTTTTGTCCGCTGTCCCTCCGTTTTTATAAACGCGTGGATCTCAGAGACTATAAAAGATAGAGATATAGGATTTGGCATTTCCTGCACAACCGCAGTTCAAGTATGTTTCAAGATTTTGCCTCGTCCCTCCCGTCACCAAATCATAAATCTGGGTGTAGCGCCAATTAATCGTTAATGTTGTTATTGTTAATGTTAATGTTTTTGGACACGTTAACGTTAATGTTTTTGGACAATGTTTTGATGCCAAACTGTTCCAATAGCTAATCTACACCTACAAAAAAAACGACCATATCTGATCATTTTTAGAGGAGTTATAGACTCTTTAGTCTGCTTCCCTACTGAATCGGTAATATAGCCGTTTTGTTGTTGTTGTTTTTCCCAAGCTCAAAAGTATGCAACAGAAGTTTTTTGCTGAGAGTTGGAAGAGAGAAAAGAAAGGAAGAAGTGCATTGATTGCACTGACTTGTTTTGGGAAATTGTTTTTGTTTTATTCAGGATTAATTAGACAATATTGATATGTGTCAAAAATGACACATTCTCTTGTAAGTCAAATTCCGAAAAACACGACAAAAATGCAAAAATTTCAGTTTCTTGTGTAATAATTGTATCCTTTTTTAAAATTGAAGATTTATGTTTTTTTCATTGAACACATTAAATCACACATTAAATAATTGAAAAACGTCGGAAATTTTAAAATCGGTTTAAAATTAGGCGTCTAGGAATATTTGATTGAAAACAAGTCCCAAAAAACGGGTTTTTTTAAATAAATAAAGATTTTGAGGGTGTTTCAAGTATTTCAAACACGGTTTCGAGCTATATTCGACCTGATAAACAAAGCATTTAGCATAATTTAGAAAAATTGGATTATCTCAAAACTTTCATAGTACATTTAAAACATAACCCACAAAAATGAAATATAAATATTTTTAATAAATTAACTAGATTAATTTAACAATTATATCCAACGGCGTAAACGTACTTTAAAACTTTACGTTCTTTTCCTGCATATTTAATAGCTTTGAACTGTTTTGGCAGTCTGCGAAGAACTGGGTGACCAGATGGAACTAAAGGGTAAACAGTATTGTCCAATCGAAAAAAACCATAAAGTCGTTTGAAAGTTTAAGCTTTACAAAGAGTATACGGATCTCCAATCTTTAAAAACTAATTATTAAATCGGGTATAGCCTTAGATTTAATATTTCCTACAGTAGACCTTCATCCATGTGGTGACGTTTAATACTCTTAATATTCCAAGATATATTAAAAAGTTATAAAAATTCGGTTGTCAAACTACCTTTTGAAGAGACTATATGTCAACTGACGAGGCTACTTATAGCCTACTAATAGCCTCTCATGGTGGAGCCTTTTTCTGGCTGTCAATTCACAATATAGTTCATTTTTAAAAGTGATTTGGAGTCATCATACTAAATTTTAAAATGTGTAATTCAAAATTATGTGTATATATAATTTTTATCATGCAGATTTTACTTGTTGACATTTCTGGGTCCGGCGAATCTTCGGCCTTGGTTACCTCTGGAACCTCATCAGAGTTAGCTTTCAACGCGGGAAACCCACAGAGCTCCAATACTACGAATGAGGGAGGGCTGGCGGTGAAGGCCACAACGGCGAAACACTCGGATTTTCTAAGAGCACCACTCATGGAGCCTCGAGAAAGCAACCTAGACTCAGACTCTGACTCTGACAGTGCGGAGTTCAATTACTTGATCACTGGTGGCGCTACGACAGGAGACAGAACCCTGGTCAGGTATGCAGTCTGGTTCGCATACCGAGGTACAAGGGCTCAATTTGGCGACAACATTATCAGCGGTGGCTTAATCGTCCACAAGCAATTCGTCTTGACCTCTGCCCACTCTCTTTTTTTGTCCCCGTTAGTATCCTTTGCTTTTTTTCAAATTAGTTTTGTTAATTATTTTTGTAACTATTTTTGAAAACTGTAAGTCAGCAAACGAGAGAGCCTAGTGATTTACAAGCTGTGGCCGGAGCAATAAGAAGACTTGAAAGTACCGACGCCACCATTAGTATCATGGCAAAAGCATTTTTTGTACACCCCGGATATAGACACCCCGGAGTAACCAATGACTTGGCATTAGTGCTATTGGAGAGGGAGTTTGACTTGAGTCCCGCCGTGGCCATTGCTCGAATACCAACATATGCGGCATACGATGGTATGTCCTGTACTGTCGTTGGCTGGGGAGCAGTCGTGGATCAAGGACCGATTGCAGATGAGTATCTTGAGGCCAAAGTTGTAACCCATCAGAGTTCATGTTCTATGCTTCGCGGTTGGGATAATATTGCTATGCTCTGTGCTCGAGATGCAGCCTTTTTTGAAGTGGACGCCTGCCTTTATGACTCTGGCACCCCAATGTTTTGTGACGGCAACTATGCGTTTGGTTTAGTTGCTTATGGATTGGGATGCGGTAACCCAGATCATGGCGGTGCCTACATGAATCTCCACCACTACAGCGGGTTTTTTACCAATGACCGAATGAATAATTTGTTATATAAATTTATGGGTTCTAGAGGACCTGGCCCAATACGCCCACTATTTTGGCCTGTATCAGACCTGTATTATAGCAAATTTATGGCCCTACTATTTATTTATTATATATTTGTAAATTATATTGTATAAATTATAAGTTTTAAAACTTTTACATAAGAGCAATGAACTGAAAAACTTTCAAAATCAATAAACATTATAGTAATATTTAAACCAGCAATAAAACAGGAAAACCTAACATTGGGCGGATACATATGTAGTACATAATATGTACTTACATACATTATCGTACATGTACTTTTTAAGATATCTACATACACATATTTATATTTATAGTTTTTTTTTTTAAGTAAAAAACTTAAAAAAATGTATTTGCATATATTAAACATTTGTGGGAAAAGCAAATGAAGCAGAAAAGCATCTATTAAGTTATTTAAACATACAAACTACAGATTTTTTTTCTTAAGAATTTAAGCTTTTAATCTTTATTCAAAGTAGAAGATCTGCATAAATTTAGGGTCAAACAAGGTCCACTTTCCCTGGGCTAAAAGAAACCTTGCAACCTTTAAAGTAACCTTCCTTCCAGTTTTTACAAAGAAAGTTCTTTCGTGGCCGGCTATTTTAATAAAAATTACGGTAAGTAAAGAGAAACGGAGTTTATCGCAAAGTATAACCCATTTTGTTATTTAATAATTGAATCGGACGGTTTCTGGAAAAAGAACAAGACCGCCTCTCCAAAAACCCGAAAACGATATTATCTTTGAATGCATTATATGTAGTTATTTTACAAGTTAAAATGCGAGTTGCACTTGTTCGGGTTATAATAATTTATTTAACTTTTAATTTGTCAATCATTACAAGTAATTTATATATTCTTCAATATTGTAAGTATCTTAGTATTTAAAGACTTCGTGAATGTATCATAAAAAGAAGGCCGAATACCATATTTACAAATCTATATTGGCATTTTAACTTTCTACTGGGAATTATATGTGCCGAAGCAGAAAAAACATTGTAAGTAGCACCAAAATTATAAGTAAAAGCATATCCAAGCCGATCATGGCACCTCCATCAGTACTTGTATCGTTCCAGGCATCCTTGTTCTTTTCTTTTAAGTTAAAACTGGCAATTGTTAGCAAACGGTTTTGTCCATGGGTAAAATAAAGAAGGGTGTGGGACATCAATTCTTCTCTCATTTCCTTAATTCCAAGAATAGAGCCCCAACCATAGCCTGTGCTAAGTTTTCCTGCGCAATGGTCAATCAAATCGTCAGCCAAAGCGTATCTATATGGCAAACAAGCCAACAAGCTGTGATCCGTTTTTCCTGCTCTTGGAGCATTCCCTTGGGTGCAGGTGTAGTCATGCATGCCCGTCCACGTAATGCTATTACATTGCGCCATTGGTTCATAGTCAAATACGATCATTAAATCCTCCTGGTCTTTTAACTTAAAGACTGTATACGCCGTATTCCTTGCTATCAATTTTCCCTTCCATCGGGTTATGAGATAATCTGGATACTCTCCAGAACACTGATTTATCCAATTTTGAGACAAAAATTTTTGGCAGTGTTTCCGGGCTATAAGATTTCCCCACCCCTTTTTATTACTCATTTTTGTTCAGAATTGTTTTATTGCAATTTTGATGACCATTAAAAATTTTGTAATCGCCTGTCTGTTTTCAATAAAATTATGAGATCTCTCTTTCAAATTTCTCATGCCTACTACATTGCATGTAAAACATGCCTACTACATAATGCCTATTTTATTGAAGAGAAAAATTCTTCCATTTTCACATTCTAAAATTTTTTCAGTCAAATCCGACAGACTTGTAGTACTAATATTTATATAATTATATAAATCCTAATTAATATAGGATTTCCCAAATGTTTTGACCAGAGCTTGCAAATAAGACCGAATGAAAGTGTCTTTGACTGACCAAATCAAATAGAAAATAAAACAAAAGTGATTTGCTCTGAAAAAACACGAAGAACAGTTTAAACTTTAAACTTTAAAATGTGTTCCGACATGATCGATTTTTTGCGGATACTTTGAAACTCTGGTTTTGACTAAAGCAACAATTTTTATTTTATTGAAATTTTTGTGCAGGCTGAAAAGATTTTTTTGGTGTTCGATGATTTTAAATTGTTTTGGATCCCCCCTGGGATTTTTGTAAAGACAAAAGTACCGGCAAAATATGTCAAAAATTCAAAAATCCTTGACCACGGAAAAGGACCTATCAAAAAGGAAGCTGCCGACAATTTGAAACAATTGATGGTGGAGAAGGCCTTTTAGCCCCAAAGCCAAACCCGGTCAAAGGCCTTTTGGATGTAGCCACCATGCAGCCACCACCACCTACCTGAAGAGTAGCTTACGTTGAAATCCATCTAAAACGAATTTTACCTATCGATGCAGTTGTTCGAAGGTCCAATGTCCTCCTTTTAAACATAATTGAAAAGACGGAATTGCTGCTTGGACTTGAGGATTGGAAAGCAAGTGAGCATGGATGCATCTTTCTAAGATCTTGGTAGTAGACTGATTTGACGGTAGCTGTTGAGGTATGCTGGCGGCTTGGCCTTTCTGTGAATCACCAATTAGCATCCACGGCTTTGGGAAATGCTCAATCATAAAAGCAGCATTAAACAGCAGAACTAGGAATACGATCGCAAGAAGAGGAAGCGACTTCAGCGACTAGTTCCGTCAGGACCAGGGGTTAACTTCTGGTTAACCAGTAGACTGGTTAACTTCCACAGGGTGAAATTTGGGTCCTTATTGGGAGTGGCTTCCTCTAGCTCATCGTCAATGGAACCTTGTCTGAATAGCGTCAGGAGGTCGAACAAACTTCTAAAAAATAGAAAATTTAGGTTTAGGTTTAGGACTTCAAACTTCAGAAACTCGAAATGAGCTTGTCAAAATTCTTTGTGTATTTTTTCTTGCTTTTTATGCATATCGACGTGGTCTTATTCGTGATACCCTCCGTCTGCTTTCCCTCAGAATTCTCATCCCAGCTCACTTCCAACGGAGACAATGGAACAAGTTCATCCGAATGGAGGTCACTAAATAAGCGGAATGAGGAAGTGGAAAAACAGACGGATGAGTTTCAGGAAAATGGCAACGATTTTGATTCATTTGAAATAGAGTACTTGGTCACTGGTGGATATCGCCCAAAAAACAATAATTTGATTAAATTTACGGTATCACTGCGATATAATAAAATTAAGCAATTCTTTGGAGATAATCACTTTTGCGGAGGAGCTATTATACACAGAAAATGTGTTATCACATCTGCCCATTGTCTTTTTACCAAGTAAGCAGCAAGTATACACATTCCATAAAGTCTCTTTACTAATCTGTAACCTGATGGTGGCTCTGTTTTGTATGTAGAAAAGGAAGTTTGGAAAAAGCTGATTACGTAACCGTTGTGGCAGGCACTCCCAACAGGCTAGAAAGAATCAGCAGCACTCAGGTCGTTAAGACAAAAAAGCTTATTCCACATCCCGATTACAATCGAGAAATGGGCCACAAGTTTGACATTGGATTGGTGTTACTTAATACAGACCTAGTGTTGGGTCCATCTGTCGCCGTCATCCTGCTAACCGACATACCTCCGGCTAAAAACTTGGACTGCCCCGTAGTGGGATGGGGACAAGTTATCGAGTTATCATAGTTTACTTTCTAAACTCTTAGAATTTTTTTCTAAGACTTATTTTATTTTTTAGTTTTCTAAGATTTTTATACCCTTGCAGAGGGTATTATAATTTTGTCCAAAAGTGTGCAACGCAGTGAAGGAGACATCTCCGACCCTATAAAGTATATATATTCTTGATCAGGATCACCTCCTGAGTTGATATGAGCATGTCCGTCTGTCCGTCTGTCTGTCTGTCTGTTTCTACGCGAACTAGTCTCTCAGTTTTAAAGCTATCGTCTTAAAACTTTGCACACACCCTTCTTTCCTTTGCACGCAGTATATAAGTCGGAACGGCCGAGATCGGCCGACTATATCCTATAGCTGCCATATAACTGATTGATCGGAAATGGTATAACTTTGACGTTTTTAAAGTTAGAGAGTTCAAATTTGACATGAGAGCGTTTTTTGGCAAAACATTACGACATGCCAAAGTTCATAAGGATCGGCCGACTATATCCTATAGCTGCCATATAACTGAACGATCGGAAATAGTATTTGGTAGAAATATCAATTTTCGTATTTTTGAAGATAGAAGCTTGGGACTTTTTTTTAGATTTTTTATTGTAATTAATTGGTTTTATTATGATGTAATCATAAGGATCGGCCAACTATATCCGATGTTTGCGATATATATCTGGTTTTAGCTGCAAGGGTATATCAACTTCGGCTCCGCCCGAAGTTAGCTTTGCTTTCTTGTTTTTTTCTGAGATTCGTTTTATTTTTAATTTGGACCGTTTCCGGATGGGGCTGTTAATGTTGACATAAAAGTCCTGTCAAAAACTTTATGCGAAAATATGCCAAAATGGAATCCCGATGGTATGATCTGTGGCGGGGATCCGAAATTCTTCGAAGTGGACAGTTGCTACGGTGATTCTGGTGGACCACTATATTGTGGCTTAAAGTTGTATGGCACTGTCTCTTATGGACGTGGTTGTGGCACTCCTGGCTATTATGGAGTATACACCGATGTATATTTCTTCCGGGATTGGCTGGAGCCTGCCACACGAGGTGTATGGCCTGAAATTGATGGCGGAAGTTCACCCATATTTTTCCGCAGCTTCAAAGGAGAGGTATCTCAGTATTTGGCGTCTTTATTTTTGTACTATTTTCTAAAATTACCCTTAACGGCTTGGGAATAGAATTCGTAAATTTGTATTTTCTTTATTAAAGATTCAAAATTTATATTTAAGCAAATTTACAATATTTTACCATTATGAATAATAAATGTTTTGATTTGACTCTCGAATATAAATGTATTCAGTGCAATGGATATCGAATCGAATCCTATATGAAGCTACTTTTGCTTATTTAAACCAAAGCTTAAGTCCAAAAGCGTAGCAATACTATAAGTAGTAATGCAGACAGAAATAAAATTACGTTTGGCGCTTCACCTCGAGTCCTATCATGCATTTTATATAAGTCCGAATTTTCCATCTGGTTACGTAGTTTATCAATCTCATTTCCAATATTGGCGTAGTACAGTATCGTAGAATTACTGGGACCCACCACTTCCACTCTACTTTTGTTATGACGAGCGCAATGCGAGTACAATTCTTCGGATAAATGAAACCGGTAGGGCAAACAGGCCAAAATGCTACGATTCGTGGTTATATTCTTTAAATTTCGGCCAAGCTGGTTCATGCACTGGAATTTATTCATGCCGAGCGCCTTGACCAAGTTACAATCTTGGATTTGGTCTAATCGGAAAAAGATCATCAGTTCGTTGAGTTGACTCTTCTTGAGCTTGAAAATCGCATAGGAGTCTCCCTTTTTCACCAAGTCGTCTCTGTAAAGTTCTTTTACGCGGTCGTAATATTTATCATGACAGATTTTCATCCAACTTGATCCGTCTATAAATCTGTCACATCCTTTTCTGTTTACTAGGGAATCCCAACCTTTTAACATTTTTAATAAAAACTTGCTTATATCTTGACTAAAAATTTTGTGTATTTGAATTCTCAATATTCATTTCTCTTAGTTTTATTGAAAAACTCAAAATGTCAAAATTATTTGGTATATTTTTTTTTGATGTTTTCACACAATGTAATATACAAAGGACTGGTCTTATCAATCGGGTTTTCCTCGGATCCCTCATCCTTGTTGACGCCAGCTGGAGAGCATGCGAACTTCTTAAGATACTCCCATTGGGGGGAGGAAAAATTTCAGTATGACAAGGGGGAAAACCCGCCTTCAGTATCAAACAAAACCTTTGATCCTTTTGAATTTGATTACCTGGTAGCGGGAGGATACCGTCCTATTTCAAATAACTTGGTGAAGTACGTTGTGTCACTGCGTATTTATGACTCTCCGCAATGGTTTGGAGCTTATCATTATTGTGGAGGATCCATTATTCATAAGAAATTTATTGTCACAGCTGCCCACTGCCTATTCGACACGTATGTTCCAAAAATAGCACGTCTTTTTCTGTAATACGTCTTGGTTCATTTTGGTTTTTAGGAAAAGAAAGTTGCTTGTTGCGGAGGATATATCCGTGGTGGCAGGCACTCCTAATAGACTTCAGAAAATCAACACCAGTCAGGTTATCAAGGCAATGGAGCTTATGCCTCATCCCAACTACAAACATTTCCAGAGTATCAATTATGATATTGGATTGGTGCTCCTTAGCAAGGACCTTACCCTGGGTTCATCTGTTGCCGTGATCTTTTTGCCCAACATGCCACCGGCCATAAATATGAAATGTACTGCTGTGGGTTGGGGTAGAGTTGTTCTGGTTAGTTTCGCCTCTGGCTTGTTTTTATTATTGCAGAAGGTCAGAAATTAATTTTGGTCAGAAATTTGGGACAAAATGAAGGAAACATCTCCGACCCTATTATGTATATATATTCTTAATTAGGATCGCCTCCTGAGTGGATATGAGCATGTCCGTCCTTCCTGTTTGTCTGTATGTTTCTAAGGCTATCGACTTAACTTTCCTTTGCACGCAGTATATAAGTTGGAACGGCCGGGCTCGGCCGACTATATCCTATAGGTACCATATAACTGATTGATCGGAAATGGTATAACTTCGGTGTTTTTAGAGTTAGAGATTTCGTAAGGATCGGCCGACTATATCCTATAGCTGCCATATAACTGAACGATCGGAAATGACCCAACTTTCGTGTTTTTGAAGATATAAAGCTGGAACTTGGTACAGATTATATTTTTGGTCAGTTGATCCAACCTACCAAATTTTATTAGAATCGGCCGACTATATCTTATAGCTGCCATATAACTGAACGATCGGAAATGGTTTTTTGTAGAAATACCTTTGGTATTTTTGAAGATAGAAGTTTGGGACTTGTTTTAAATTTTGTATTATAGTAAATTGGGTTATATTATCATATTCTCATAAGGATCGGCCAACTATATCCGATTTTTGCGATATATATACGGTGTTCAAAACTTAGGTTGAACATAGCATATAAAAGCTTAAATAATTTTAAAATATTTAAAATTCAAATTAAATAATTCTTGCACAAATTATTAAAAGAAAAAAATGTATTAACAAAATACAAAAAAAACATTTATACAGTCCACTAAAAATTATAATCGAAGAAAAGGTTAAAGTAACATCAAATTTATACAAAAATATTAATCAAAAACACATTAAATTTACCCCTCTTTTTGTGGCCCTTTCCAGAATGTTCAAGCATTGAACACTATTTTTTATAGAAATTCCTAAGTTAGAGTTTCAAGGGATCGGACCCATGGAAATATGAGTCAAACAGCATAATCTAAAACCGATCCCCTGCAGCCTAACATAAATAACACAAACATAAGCATCATAAATAACACAAACATAAGCGCATCCGCACTTGAGAAAGGGTCGCATAGCATGTCAACGTGCATTGCGTTGATAAGTAGTTTTAAACACATAGGTTTAAGATTCTCATGTATCGTACTTATAAGAGAACTTCACCGAATAAAATCAGTTTCCATAAGGAGCTCATTGGAGTAAGACCTATTTATGGCTCCTCTTAACATACGGTTTTAACTGCAAGGGTATATCAACTTCGGCTCCGCCCAAAGTTAGCTTTCCTTTCTTGTTTAGTTATAGGGTTGCAATTTTCTATGGATTCTTTTTTTTTGGCATAATAATTCGACCAACTTTCATAAGGATCCTATAACCTATGGCTGTGTTTTTTGAAGATAGAAAGTTGGAAGTTCCTACAGATTCTATTTTGAGCCATAGAAGTTAGCTTTCTTTTTTTGTTTTTTTCTAAATTACGGTAAGTAAAGAGAAACTGAATTTATCGCAAAGTACAACCTCTTTTGTTATTTAATAATTAAATCGGACGGTTTCTGGAAAAAGATGCAAGACCGCCTCTCCAAAAACCCGAAAACGATATTATCTTTGAATGCATTATATGTAGTTATTTTACAAGTTAAAATGCGAGTTGCACTTGTTCGGGTTATAACAATTTATTTAACTTTTAATTTGTCAATCATTACAAGTAATTTATACATTCTTCAATATTGTAAGTATCTTAGTATTTAAAGACTTTGTGAATGTATCATAAAAAAGAATACCATATTTACAAATTTATATTGGCATTTTAACTTTCTACTGGGAATTATATGTGCCGAAGCAGAAAAAACATTGTAAGTAGCACCAAAATTATAAGTAAAAGCATATCCAAGCCGATCATGGCACCTCCATCAGTACTTGTATCGTTCCAGGCATCCTTGTTCTTTTCTCTTATGTTAAAATAAGCAATTGTTTGCAAACGATTTTGTCCATGGGTAAAATAAAGAAGGGTGTGGGATGTCAATTCTTCTCTCATTTCCTTAATTCCAAGAATAGAGCCCCATCCATAGCCTGTGCTAAGTTTTCCTGCGCAATGGTCAATCAAATCGTCAGCCAAAGCGTATCTATATGGCAAACAAGCCAACAAGCTGTGATCCGTTTTTCCTGCTCTTGGAGCATTCCCTTGGGTGCAGGTGTAGTCATGCATGCCCGTCCACGTAATGCTATTACATTGCGCCATTGGTTCATAGTCAAATACGATCATTAAATCCTCCTGGTCTTTTAACTTAAAGACTGTATACGCCGTATTCCTTGCTATCAATTTTCCCTTCCATCGGGTTATGAGATAATCTGGATACTGTCCAGAACACTGATTTATCCAATCTTGAGACAAAAATTTTTGGCAGTGTTTCCGGGCTACAAGATTTCCCCACCCCTTTTTATTACTCATTTTTGTCGAGAAAATTTTTTTGCAATTTTGATGACCACCACAAATTTTGTAATCAATTGTCTGTTTTCAATAAAATTATGAGATCTCTCTTTCAAATTTCTCATGCCTACTCTTTTTTTTGTTTTTTATGGTTTTATTTAAAACTGTCCAACAGGGACCACCTTTAAATATTGTGGCAGAAAACTTGGCTTGTGTGTAACTAAAGTTAGAGGTGGAAAAATAAGAAAGTCTAAGAGTTATTCCGGATGAGGTCCAGCGGGTGAGTTCTGCGCAGCCGCTGCATCTGTTCGCTGTTGTCGAGGAGATTGGTCGCCAACTTGTTGGGGTGGTTGTGTAGTCTCTGGATGTACTTGCTGATGCTTCTCTGGATCTCCTCCTTCACCCATGAGAAGCCAAGCACCTCGTGGATTGTCTGGTTGTCGTGGTAGACGTGGGCCTCAGTGGCTATACGGAGGGCTCTATTTTCAAACGTCTGGATAGTCTGAATATTAGTCTTGCTGAACGTGGCCCAAAGTTGGATCCCGTATGTCCAAATTGGCCGAATAATCGCCTTGTAGATTAGGATTTTTGAAGAAGTCCTTAACTTCGACCGTCTACCCATTAGCCAATAGTACGCCTTCAATCTTACTTCACACTGCTTTTTGACTAGGTGAGGCTTCCAAGTAAGCCTCCTGTCTAGCGTGAAGCTCAGGTATCTTGGGTTTTCTACTTGTGGGATGGGGGAGCTGTTGAGGTGGACCGAGAGTAAATGGCGGTATTCCACCTTCTCTGCCAATCGCCGAGATCTAGTTGCTCCTGCATGACAGTAGCTGTCTCTGTAGCGTTGTCAGCAGCGGTCAGGAAGGCGGTATCGTCCGCATAGGTCGCTGCCATTATGTTGGGGCTCCGCAAAACTGGGAGATCGGCCGTGTAGACATTTTATGATAAAGGGCCCAGCACGTTGCCTTGGGGGACTCCGGCGCGGACCTCCCTGAGTCCGGAAGTGGCCTGTCCGCTTCTGACCGCAAATTTGCGGTCCTTCAGGAACGACTCAAGAAAGAGGTAGTAAGGTCTGGGCAGGTTAGTCTTCAATTTAAGTAGGAAACCGGAGTGCCAACCCGGTCGAAGGCTTGTTTGATATCCAGCAATTACAACCAGGCAGTACTAATTGGTTTCGAAGGCGTCCAGGATATACTGCACCACTCTGTGGCATTATTCCGGCGTTCCGAGGGACCGTCTGAAGCCAAACTGGTGAATGGGGATCAGACCAGCCTCGTCCAGTACTGGCACTGCTCTACTCAAAAACACTCTTTCGAGTATTTTGGAGAGTATCGATAGGAGACTACTCGGACGCTAAGAGGCAAGATCGGCTTCGGATTTTCCGGGCTTGGGTATCATGGTTACCAGAGCATGTTTCCAGTTGGTCGGAAAGTACCCAATTTCTAAGCATCTTTTATAAATTTTCGTCAGTATCTTGATGCTTGGAGGTGGCAGCAGTTTTAATGCGGCTGCATTGATGCCATCATCGCCCGGGGCCTTTTTGATGCTCAACACTGAAACCTGGGCGGCTGTCTCCTCTTCCGTCATAGGTGGTATTCTGGTCGCCTCATGCGGGCTCTGCCAAGAGTGGTTCCGTTTCTGCTGCCTCTTCGCTTTCCAGGTGTTCGGCGAACGAGTTGGCTCGGTCCGTCTCTGACCTGCAGCAACAGCCATCGGCTCGCTGAACAGGTGGGATCCTCTTAAGAGGACGTCGTATGCTTTTCATGACACGCCACAGATTGTTTTGTGGGCAAAAGTCTTCGATTTTCGCGTTTTAAAATTTTTTTAGTCAAATCCGACAGACTTGTAGTACTAATATTTATATATATATGAATTAGGATTTCTCAAATGTTTTGACCAGAGCTTGCAAATAATACCGAATGAAAGTGTCTTTGACTGACCAAATCAAATAGAAAATAAAAAAAAAAAAACACGAAGAACAGTTTAAAATTTAGATTGTTTTTTTTAGATCCGATTCTCAGTTTTCCGACATGATAGATTTTTCGCGGAAACTTTGAAAGGATCAAAAGTTTTTTGTTCACTCTGGTTTTGACTACAGGACTACAATTTTTATTTTATAAAATTTTTGTACAGGCTAAAAAGAGTTCTTTGGTTTTCGATGATTTTAAATTGTTTGGGATCCCTCCTGGGATTTGTATACAGACAAAAGTACCGGCAAAATATGTCAAAAATTAAAAAAATCCGGGACCACGGAAAAGGTCTTATCAAAAAGGAAGCTGCCGACAATTTGAAACAACTGATGGTGGAGAAGACCTTTTAGCTTATTCAGGAGCCCCCAAAGCCAAACCCCGCCAAAGGCCTTTTGGATGTAGCCACCATGTAGCCACCATGCAGCCACCACCACCTACCTGAAGAGTAGTTTACGTTGAAATCCATCTAAAACGAATTGTTCCTGTCGATACAGTTGTTCGGGGGTCCCATGTCCTCCTCCAATTTAAACCAAATTAGAAAGACGGAATTGTTGCTTGGACTTGAGGATTGGAAAGCAAGTGAGCCTGGATGCATCTTTCTAAGATCTTGGTAGTAGACTGATTTGACGGTAGCTGTTGAGGTATGCTGGCGGCTTTGCCTTTCTGTGAATCACCAATTAGCATCCACGGCTTTGGGAATGCTCAATCATAAAAGCAGCATTAAACAGCAGAACTAGGAATACGATCGCAAGAAGAGGAAGCGACTTCAGCGACTAGTTATTCCGTCAGGACCAGGGGTTAACTTCTGGTTAACCAGTAGACTGGTTAACTTCCACAGGGTGAAATTCGGGTCTCTATTGGGAGTGGCTTCCTCTAGCTCATCGTCAAAGGAACCCTGTCTGAATAGCGTCAGGAGGTCAAATTAAGTATATTACAAACTTCTAATAAATAGAAAATTTAGGTTTAGGTTTAGGACTTCAAACTTCAGAAACTCGAAATGAGCTTGTCAAAATTCTTTGTGTATTTTTTCTTGCTTTTTATGCATATCGACGTGGTCTTATTGGTGATACCCTCCGTCTGCTTTCCCTCAGAATTCTCATCCCAGCTCACTTCCAACGGAGACAATGGAACAAGTTCATCCGAATGGAGGTCACTAAATAAGCGGAATGAGGAAGTGGAAAAACAGACGGATGAGTTTCAGGAAAATGGCAACGATTTTGATTCATTTGAAATAGAGTACTTGGTCACTGGTGGATATCGCCCAAAAAACAATAATTTGATTAAATTTACGGTATCACTGCGATATAATAAAATTAAGCAATTCTTTGGAGATAATCACTTTTGCGGAGGAGCTATCATACACAGAAAATGTGTTATCACATCTGCTCATTGTCTTTTTACCAAGTAAGCAGCAAGTATACACATTCCATAAAGTCTCTTTACTAATCTGTAACCTGATGGTGGACCTTTTTTGTATGTAGAAAAGGAAGATTGGAAAAAGCTGATTACGTAACCGTTGTGGCAGGCACTCCCAACAGGCTAGAAAGAATCAGCAGCACTCAGGTCGTTAAGGCAAAAAGCTTATTCCACATCCCGATTACAATCGAGAAATGGGCCACAAGTTTGACATTGGATTGGTGTTACTTAATACAGACCTAGTGTTGGGTCCATCTGTCGCCGTCATCCTGCTAACCGACATACCTCCGGCTAAAAACTTGGACTGCACCGTAGTGGGATGGGGACAAGTTATCGAGGTTCCGATTTCTGGTTTTCATAGTTTACTTTCTAAACTCTTAGAATTTTTTTCTAAGACTTATTTTATTTTTTAGTTTTCTAAGATTTTTTTTTTCTGAGATTCGTTTTATTTTTAGTTTGGACCCTTTCCGGATGGGGCTGTTAATGTTGACATAAAAGTCCTGTCAAAAACTTTATGCGAAAATATGCCAAAATGGAATCCCGATGGTATGATCTGTGGCGGGGATCCGAAATTCTTCGAAGTGGACAGTTGCTACGGTGATTCTGGTGGACCACTATATTGTGGCTTAAAGTTGTATGGCACTGTCTCTTATGGACGTGGTTGTGGCACTCCTGGCTATTATGGAGTATACACCGATGTATATTTCTTCCGGGATTGGCTGGAGCCTGCCACACGAGGTGTATGGCCTGAAATTGATGGCGGAAGTTCACCCATATTTTTCCGCAGCTTCAAAGGAGAGGTATCTCAGTATTTGGCGTCTTTATTTTTGTACTATTTTCTAAAATTACCCTTAACGGCTTGGGAATAGAATTCGTAAATTTGTATTTTCTTTATTAAAGATTCAAAATTTATATTTAAGCAAATTTACAATATTTTACCATTATGAATAATAAATGTTTTGATTTGACTCTCGAATATAAATGTATTCAGTGCAATGGATATCGAATCGAATCCTATATGAAGCTACTTTTGCTTATTTAAACCAAAGCTTAAGTCGTAGCAATACTATAAGTAGTAATGCAGACAAAAATAAAATTACGTTTGGCGCTTCACCTCGAGTCCTATCATGCATTTTATATAAGTCCGAATTTTCCATCTGGTTACGTAGTTTATCAATCTCATTTCCAATATTGGCGTAGTACAGTATAGTAGAATTACTGGGACCCACCACTTCCACTCTACTTTTGTTATGACGAGCGCAATGCGAGTACAATTCTTCGGATAAATGAAACCGGTAGGGCAAACAGGCCAAAATGCTACGATTCGTGGTTATATTCTTTAAATTTCGGCCAAGCTGGTTCATGCACTGGAATTTATTCATGCCGAGCGCCTTGACCAAGTTACAATCTTGGATTTGGTCTAATCGGAAAAAGATCATCAGTTCGTTGAGTTGACTCTTCTTGAGCTTGAAAATCACATAGGAGTCTCCCTTTTTCACCAAGTCGTCTCTGTAAAGTTCTTTTACGCGGTCGTAATATTTATCATGACAGATTTTCATCCAACTTGATCCGTCTATAAATCTGTCACATCCTTTTCTGTTTACTAGGGAATCCCAACCTTTTAACATTTTTAATAAAAACTTGCTTATATCTTGTGTAAAATTTTGTGTATTTGAATTCTCAATATTCATTTCTCTTAGTTTTATTGAAAAACTCAAAATGTCAAAATTATTTGGTATATTTTTTTTTGATGTTTTCACACAATGTAATATACAAAGGACTGGTCTTATCAATCGGGTTTTCCTCGGATCCCTCATCCTTGTTGACGCCAGCTGGAGAGCATGCGAACTTCTTAAGATACTCCCATTGGGGGGAGGAAAAATTTCAGTATGACAAGGGGGAAAACCCGCCTTCAGTATCAAACAAAACCTTTGATCCTTTTGAATTTGATTACCTGGTAGCGGGAGGATACCGTCCTATTTCAAATAACTTGGTGAAGTACGTTGTGTCACTGCGTATTTATGACTCTCCGCAATGGTTTGGAGCTTATCATTATTGTGGAGGATCCATTATTCATAAGAAATTTATTGTCACAGCTGCCCACTGCCTATTCGACACGTATGTTCCAAAAATAGCACGTCTTTTTCTGTAATACGTCTTGGTTCATTTTGGTTTTTAGGAAAAGAAAGTTGCTTGTTGCGGAGGATATATCCGTGGTGGCAGGCACTCCTAATAGACTTCAGAAAATCAACACCAGTCAGGTTATCAAGGCAATGGAGCTTATGCCTCATCCCAACTACAAACATTTCCAGAGTATCAATTATGATATTGGATTGGTGCTCCTTAGCAAGGACCTTACCCTGGGTTCATCTGTTGCCGTGATCTTTTTGCCCAACATGCCACCGGCCATAAATATGAAATGTACTGCTGTGGGTTGGGGTAGAGTTGTTCTGGTTAGTTTCGCCTCTGGCTTGTTTTTATTATTGCAGAAGGTCAGAAATTAATTTTGGTCAGAAATTTGGGACAAAATGAAGGAAACATCTCCGACCCTATTATGTATATATATTCTTAATTAGGATCGCCTCCTGAGTGGATATGAGCATGTCCGTCCTTCCTGTTTGTCTGTATGTTTCTAAGGCTATCGAATTGAAACTTTGCACACATCCATCTTTCCTTTGCACGCAGTATATAAGTTGGAACGGCCGGGCTCGGCCGACTATATCCTATAGGTACCATATAACTGATTGATCGGAAATGGTATAACTTCGGTGTTTTTAGAGTTAGAGATTTCGTAAGGATCGGCCGACTATATCCTATAGCTGCCATATAACTGAACGATCGGAAATGACCCAACTTTCGTGTTTTTGAAGATATAAAGCTGGAACTTGGTACAGATTATATTTTTGGTCAGTTGATCCAACCTACCAAATTTTATTAGAATCGGCCGACTATATCTTATAGCTGCCATATAACTGAACGATCGGAAATGGTTTTTTGTAGAAATACCTTTGGTATTTTTGAAGATAGAAGTTTGGGACTTGTTTTAAATTTTGTATTATAGTAAATTGGGTTATATTATCATATTCTCATAAGGATCGGCCAACTATATCCGATTTTTGCGATATATATACGGTGTTCAAAACTTAGGTTGAACATAGCATATAAAAGCTTAAATAATTTTAAAATATTTAAAATTCAAATTAAATAATTCTTGCACAAATTATTAAAAGAAAAAAATGTATTAACAAAATACAAAAAAAACATTTATACAGTCCACTAAAAATTATAATCGAAGAAAAGGTTAAAGTAACATCAAATTTATACAAAAAATATTAATCAAAAACACATTAAATTTACCCCTCTTTTTGTGGCCCTTTCCAGAATGTTCAAGCATTGAACACTATTTTTTATAGAAATTCCTAAGTTAGAGTTTCAAGGGATCGGACCCATGGAAATATGAGTCAAACAGCATAATCTAAAACCGATCCCCTGCAGCCTAACATAAATAACACAAACATAAGCATCATAAATAACACAAACATAAGCGCATCCGCACTTGAGAAAGGGTCGCATAGCATGTCAACGTGCATTGCGTTGATAAGTAGTTTTAAACACATAGGTTTAAGATTCTCATGTATCGTACTTATAAGAGAACTTCACCGAATAAAATCAGTTTCCATAAGGAGCTCATTGGAGTAAGACCTATTTATGGCTCCTCTTAACATACGGTTTTAACTGCAAGGGTATATCAACTTCGGCTCCGCCCAAAGTTAGCTTTCCTTTCTTGTTTAGTTATAGGGTTGCAATTTTCTATGGATTCTTTTTTTTTGGCATAATAATTCGACCAACTTTCATAAGGATCCTATAACCTATGGCTGTGTTTTTTGAAGATAGAAAGTTGGAAGTTCCTACAGATTCTATTTTGAGCCATAGAAGTTAGCTTTCTTTTTTTGTTTTTTTCTAAATTACGGTAAGTAAAGAGAAACTGAATTTATCGCAAAGTACAACCTCTTTTGTTATTTAATAATTAAATCGGACGGTTTCTGGAAAAAGATGCAAGACCGCCTCTCCAAAAACCCGAAAACGATATTATCTTTGAATGCATTATATGTAGTTATTTTACAAGTTAAAATGCGAGTTGCACTTGTTCGGGTTATAACAATTTATTTAACTTTTAATTTGTCAATCATTACAAGTAATTTATACATTCTTCAATATTGTAAGTATCTTAGTATTTAAAGACTTTGTGAATGTATCATAAAAAAAGAATACCATATTTACAAATTTATATTGGCATTTTAACTTTCTACTGGGAATTATATGTGCCGAAGCAGAAAAAACATTGTAAGTAGCACCAAAATTATAAGTAAAAGCATATCCAAGCCGATCATGGCACCTCCATCAGTACTTGTATCGTTCCAGGCATCCTTGTTCTTTTCTCTTATGTTAAAATAAGCAATTGTTTGCAAACGATTTTGTCCATGGGTAAAATAAAGAAGGGTGTGGGATGTCAATTCTTCTCTCATTTCCTTAATTCCAAGAATAGAGCCCCATCCATAGCCTGTGCTAAGTTTTCCTGCGCAATGGTCAATCAAATCGTCAGCCAAAGCGTATCTATATGGCAAACAAGCCAACAAGCTGTGATCCGTTTTTCCTGCTCTTGGAGCATTCCCTTGGGTGCAGGTGTAGTCATGCATGCCCGTCCACGTAATGCTATTACATTGCGCCATTGGTTCATAGTCAAATACGATCATTAAATCCTCCTGGTCTTTTAACTTAAAGACTGTATACGCCGTATTCCTTGCTATCAATTTTCCCTTCCATCGGGTTATGAGATAATCTGGATACTGTCCAGAACACTGATTTATCCAATCTTGAGACAAAAATTTTTGGCAGTGTTTCCGGGCTACAAGATTTCCCCACCCCTTTTATTACTCATTTTTGTCGAGAAAATTTTTTTGCAATTTTGATGACCACCACAAATTTTGTAATCAATTGTCTGTTTTCAATAAAATTATGAGATCTCTCTTTCAAATTTCTCATGCCTACTCTTTTTTTTTTTTTATGGTTTTATTTAAAACTGTCCAACAGGGACCACCTTTAAATATTGTGGCAGAAAACTTGGCTTGTGTGTAACTAAAGTTAGAGGTGGAAAAATAAGAAAGTCTAAGAGTTATTCCGGATGAGGTCCAGCGGGTGAGTTCTGCGCAGCCGCTGCATCTGTTCGCTGTTGTCGAGGAGATTGGTCGCCAACTTGTTGGGGTGGTTGTGTAGTCTCTGGATGTACTTGCTGATGCTTCTCTGGATCTCCTCCTTCACCCATGAGAAGCCAAGCACCTCGTGGATTGTCTGGTTGTCGTGGTAGACGTGGGCCTCAGTGGCTATACGGAGGGCTCTATTTTCAAACGTCTGGATAGTCTGAATATTAGTCTTGCTGAACGTGGCCCAAAGTTGGATCCCGTATGTCCAAATTGGCCGAATAATCGCCTTGTAGATTAGGATTTTTGAAGAAGTCCTTAACTTCGACCGTCTACCCATTAGCCAATAGTACGCCTTCAATCTTACTTCACACTGCTTTTTGACTAGGTGAGGCTTCCAAGTAAGCCTCCTGTCTAGCGTGAAGCTCAGGTATCTTGGGTTTTCTACTTGTGGGATGGGGGAGCTGTTGAGGTGGACCGAGAGTAAATGGCGGTATTCCACCTTCTCTGCCAATCGCCGAGATCTAGTTGCTCCTGCATGACAGTAGCTGTCTCTGTAGCGTTGTCAGCAGCGGTCAGGAAGGCGGTATCGTCCGCATAGGTCGCTGCCATTATGTTGGGGCTCCGCAAAACTGGGAGATCGGCCGTGTAGACATTTTATGATAAAGGGCCCAGCACGTTGCCTTGGGGGACTCCGGCGCGGACCTCCCTGAGTCCGGAAGTGGCCTGTCCGCTTCTGACCGCAAATTTGCGGTCCTTCAGGAACGACTCAAGAAAGAGGTAGTAAGGTCTGGGCAGGTTAGTCTTCAATTTAAGTAGGAAACCGGAGTGCCAACCCGGTCGAAGGCTTGTTTGATATCCAGCAATTACAACCAGGCAGTACTAATTGGTTTCGAAGGCGTCCAGGATATACTGCACCACTCTGTGGCATTATTCCGGCGTTCCGAGGGACCGTCTGAAGCCAAACTGGTGAATGGGGATCAGACCAGCCTCGTCCAGTACTGGCACTGCTCTACTCAAAAACACTCTTTCGAGTATTTTGGAGAGTATCGATAGGAGACTACTCGGACGCTAAGAGGCAAGATCGGCTTCGGATTTTCCGGGCTTGGGTATCATGGTTACCAGAGCATGTTTCCAGTTGGTCGGAAAGTACCCAATTTCTAAGCATCTTTTATAAATTTTCGTCAGTATCTTGATGCTTGGAGGTGGCAGCAGTTTTAATGCGGCTGCATTGATGCCATCATCGCCCGGGGCCTTTTTGATGCTCAACACTGAAACCTGGGCGGCTGTCTCCTCTTCCGTCATAGGTGGTATTCTGGTCGCCTCATGCGGGCTCTGCCAAGAGTGGTTCCGTTTCTGCTGCCTCTTCGCTTTCCAGGTGTTCGGCGAACGAGTTGGCTCGGTCCGTCTCTGACCTGCAGCAACAGCCATCGGCTCGCTGAACAGGTGGGATCCTCTTAAGAGGACGTCGTATGCTTTTCATGACACGCCACAGATTGTTTTGTGGGCAAAAGTCTTCGATTTTCGCGTTTTAAAATTTTTTTAGTCAAATCCGACAGACTTGTAGTACTAATATTTATATATATATGAATTAGGATTTCTCAAATGTTTTGACCAGAGCTTGCAAATAATACCGAATGAAAGTGTCTTTGACTGACCAAATCAAATAGAAAATAAAAAAGAAAAAACACGAAGAACAGTTTAAAATTTAGATTGTTTTTTTTAGATCCGATTCTCAGTTTTCCGACATGATAGATTTTTCGCGGAAACTTTGAAAGGATCAAAAGTTTTTTGTTCACTCTGGTTTTGACTACAGGACTACAATTTTTATTTTATAAAATTTTTGTACAGGCTAAAAAGAGTTCTTTGGTTTTCGATGATTTTAAATTGTTTGGGATCCCTCCTGGGATTTGTATACAGACAAAAGTACCGGCAAAATATGTCAAAAATTAAAAAAATCCGGGACCACGGAAAAGGTCTTATCAAAAAGGAAGCTGCCGACAATTTGAAACAACTGATGGTGGAGAAGACCTTTTAGCTTATTCAGGAGCCCCCAAAGCCAAACCCCGCCAAAGGCCTTTTGGATGTAGCCACCATGTAGCCACCATGCAGCCACCACCACCTACCTGAAGAGTAGTTTACGTTGAAATCCATCTAAAACGAATTGTTCCTGTCGATACAGTTGTTCGGGGGTCCCATGTCCTCCTCCAATTTAAACCAAATTAGAAAGACGGAATTGTTGCTTGGACTTGAGGATTGGAAAGCAAGTGAGCCTGGATGCATCTTTCTAAGATCTTGGTAGTAGACTGATTTGACGGTAGCTGTTGAGGTATGCTGGCGGCTTTGCCTTTCTGTGAATCACCAATTAGCATCCACGGCTTTGGGAATGCTCAATCATAAAAGCAGCATTAAACAGCAGAACTAGGAATACGATCGCAAGAAGAGGAAGCGACTTCAGCGACTAGTTATTCCGTCAGGACCAGGGGTTAACTTCTGGTTAACCAGTAGACTGGTTAACTTCCACAGGGTGAAATTCGGGTCTCTATTGGGAGTGGCTTCCTCTAGCTCATCGTCAAAGGAACCCTGTCTGAATAGCGTCAGGAGGTCAAATTAAGTATATTACAAACTTCTAATAAATAGAAAATTTAGGTTTAGGTTTAGGACTTCAAACTTCAGAAACTCGAAATGAGCTTGTCAAAATTCTTTGTGTATTTTTTCTTGCTTTTTATGCATATCGACGTGGTCTTATTGGTGATACCCTCCGTCTGCTTTCCCTCAGAATTCTCATCCCAGCTCACTTCCAACGGAGACAATGGAACAAGTTCATCCGAATGGAGGTCACTAAATAAGCGGAATGAGGAAGTGGAAAAACAGACGGATGAGTTTCAGGAAAATGGCAACGATTTTGATTCATTTGAAATAGAGTACTTGGTCACTGGTGGATATCGCCCAAAAAACAATAATTTGATTAAATTTACGGTATCACTGCGATATAATAAAATTAAGCAATTCTTTGGAGATAATCACTTTTGCGGAGGAGCTATCATACACAGAAAATGTGTTATCACATCTGCTCATTGTCTTTTTACCAAGTAAGCAGCAAGTATACACATTCCATAAAGTCTCTTTACTAATCTGTAACCTGATGGTGGACCTTTTTTGTATGTAGAAAAGGAAGATTGGAAAAAGCTGATTACGTAACCGTTGTGGCAGGCACTCCCAACAGGCTAGAAAGAATCAGCAGCACTCAGGTCGTTAAGGCAAAAAAGCTTATTCCACATCCCGATTACAATCGAGAAATGGGCCACAAGTTTGACATTGGATTGGTGTTACTTAATACAGACCTAGTGTTGGGTCCATCTGTCGCCGTCATCCTGCTAACCGACATACCTCCGGCTAAAAACTTGGACTGCACCGTAGTGGGATGGGGACAAGTTATCGAGGTTCCGATTTCTGGTTTTCATAGTTTACTTTCTAAACTCTTAGAATTTTTTTCTAAGACTTATTTTATTTTTTAGTTTTCTAAGATTTTTTTTTTCTGAGATTCGTTTTATTTTTAGTTTGGACCCTTTCCGGATGGGGCTGTTAATGTTGACATAAAAGTCCTGTCAAAAACTTTATGCGAAAATATGCCAAAATGGAATCCCGATGGTATGATCTGTGGCGGGGATCCGAAATTCTTCGAAGTGGACAGTTGCTACGGTGATTCTGGTGGACCACTATATTGTGGCTTAAAGTTGTATGGCACTGTCTCTTATGGACGTGGTTGTGGCACTCCTGGCTATTATGGAGTATACACCGATGTATATTTCTTCCGGGATTGGCTGGAGCCTGCCACACGAGGTGTATGGCCTGAAATTGATGGCGGAAGTTCACCCATATTTTTCCGCAGCTTCAAAGGAGAGGTATCTCAGTATTTGGCGTCTTTATTTTTGTACTATTTTCTAAAATTACCCTTAACGGCTTGGGAATAGAATTCGTAAATTTGTATTTTCTTTATTAAAGATTCAAAATTTATATTTAAGCAAATTTACAATATTTTACCATTATGAATAATAAATGTTTTGATTTGACTCTCGAATATAAATGTATTCAGTGCAATGGATATCGAATCGAATCCTATATGAAGCTACTTTTGCTTATTTAAACCAAAGCTTAAGTCCAAAAGCGTAGCAATACTATAAGTAGTAATGCAGACAGAAATAAAATTACGTTTGGCGCTTCACCTCGAGTCCTATCATGCATTTTATATAAGTCCGAATTTTCCATCTGGTTACGTAGTTTATCAATCTCATTTCCAATATTGGCGTAGTACAGTATCGTAGAATTACTGGGACCCACCACTTCCACTCTACTTTTGTTATGACGAGCGCAATGCGAGTACAATTCTTCGGATAAATGAAACCGGTAGGGCAAACAGGCCAAAATGCTACGATTCGTGGTTATATTCTTTAAATTTCGGCCAAGCTGGTTCATGCACTGGAATTTATTCATGCCGAGCGCCTTGACCAAGTTACAATCTTGGATTTGGTCTAATCGGAAAAAGATCATCAGTTCGTTGAGTTGACTCTTCTTGAGCTTGAAAATCGCATAGGAGTCTCCCTTTTTCACCAAGTCGTCTCTGTAAAGTTCTTTTACGCGGTCGTAATATTTATCATGACAGATTTTCATCCAACTTGATCCGTCTATAAATCTGTCACATCCTTTTCTGTTTACTAGGGAATCCCAACCTTTTAACATTTTTAATAAAAACTTGCTTATATCTTGACTAAAAATTTTGTGTATTTGAATTCTCAATATTCATTTCTCTTAGTTTTATTGAAAAACTCAAAATGTCAAAATTATTTGTATATTTTTTTTTGATGTTTTCACACAATGTAATATACAAAGGACTGGTCTTATCAATCGGGTTTTCCTCGGATCCCTCATCCTTGTTGACACCAGCTGGAGAGCATGCGAACTTCTTAAGATACTCCCATTGGGGGGAGGAAAAATTTCAGTATGACAAGGGGGAAAACCCGCCTTCAGTATCAAACAAAACCTTTGATCCTTTTGAATTTGATTACCTGGTAACGGGAGGATACCGTCCTATTTCAAATAACTTGGTGAAGTACGTTGTGTCACTGCGTATTTATGACTCTCCGCAATGGTTTGGAGCTTATCATTATTGTGGAGGATCCATTATTCATAAGAAATTTATTGTCACAGCTGCCCACTGCCTATTCGACACGTATGTTCCAAAAATAGCACGTCTTTTTCTGTAATACGTCTTGGTTCATTTTGGTTTTTAGGAAAAGAAAGTTGCTTGTTGCGGAGGATATATCCGTGGTGGCAGGCACTCCTAATAGACTTCAGAAAATCAACACCAGTCAGGTTATCAAGGCAATGGAGCTTATGCCTCATCCCAACTACAAACATTTCCAGAGTATCAATTATGATATTGGATTGGTGCTCCTTAGCAAGGACCTTACCCTGGGTTCATCTGTTGCCGTGATCTTTTTGCCCAACATGCCACCGGCCATAAATATGAAATGTACTGCTGTGGGTTGGGGTAGAGTTGTTCTGGTTAGTTTCGCCTCTGGCTTGTTTTTATTATTGCAGAAGGTCAGAAATTAATTTTGGTCAGAAATTTGGGACAAAATGAAGGAAACATCTCCGACCCTATTATGTATATATATTCTTAATTAGGATCGCCTCCTGAGTGGATATGAGCATGTCCGTCCTTCCTGTTTGTCTGTATGTTTCTAAGGCTATCGAATTGAAACTTTGCACACATCCATCTTTCCTTTGCACGCAGTATATAAGTTGGAACGGCCGGGATCGGCCGACTATATCCTATAGGTACCATATAACTGATTGATCGGAAATGCAATAACTTCGGTACTTTTTTAGTTATAGAGTTGCGATTTTCTATGGACTCTATTTTTTGGCTTAATAATACGACATACCAACTTTCATAAGGATCCTATAACCTATGGCTGCCATATAACTTAACTATCGGAAGAAACCCTACATTTTTGTTTTTTGAAGATAGAAAGTTGAAAGTTCCTATTGATTTTATTTTGAGCCATAGAAGTTAGCTTTCCTTTTTTGTTTTTTTTTTTAACATTTTTTCTTTTATTTTTAGTATGGACCATTACCAGCAGAGGTTCTTAATATTGATTTAAAAATTCGGCCAAAGTCATTTTGCGAAAACTACTCTATATGGGCTCCAGTATCTATGATCTGTGCGGGAGATCCAAAATTCTTCGAAGTGAGCACTTGCAAGGGGGATTCTGGAGGCCCATTAATTTGTAACAATAAATTGTATGGCATTATCTCCTTTGGATTTGGGTGTGGCTCCCCTGGTTACAATGGCGTCTGCACCGATGTATTTTTCTATCAGGAGTGGCTAGAGCCTAGCACACGTGGCCTACGGCCTGATAGAAATTCCGAGGATGATTCTTTATTTTTCCATAATTCCGTAGACTCCAAGACAATGTCAGTTCATTACTATTTATTCTTCTTTTGCACTATATGTACGTTGTTTTTACAGTGTAGTTAAATTTATTCACATTTCAAAAATTGTATTTTGTTTTAGCAAGTAATTATAACTTTAATTAAATTATCAAGTGCCAATTTGAATTTTACTATCCAGAGATAGCTTAGATTAGGTTACTTGGGAGACTATCCGAACTGATTTAACGTGGCGTGTTCCACACTGAAGGGATTACAACCCCGGCACTCGAATATACCGCAAGAGGTACATATGTATATAGTGCATGGGCACAGACTAGAAGCTATAGCTATGTACATAGCTGTATGATAGATAGGTTGAGACTGCAGAGGGGTATGATTCTCTTTCGCGGCTCGCACAATAAATACATTAACAAATCTACCGAAAAGCTCCCGGTCAAGATAACATAATCCGGCTGATGTCGAGCCGGACATAATCAGAGCAGCTGAGAGAGTGCGAGGTTTTTTTTTACCAAGGCCCGGGTCCGGCCCGGCTCGCCACGAAACTTATTTACACTTAAAAGGAAATTTAAAAGACATGAAATTTGTATATACATATAAATATATAATACAATTTTTTCTAAATTTGTGATTTTTAGCCTAGTGCGTTTTTCATTTAAAACATGACCCGATATTGAAAAAAGGCTTTCGCTCGTAGACGAACTGGCTGGAATAGCCAGAATGGTCAAATCTCCTATAAATTCGGAGAGCACTGATTTTACCGTAGCTAGCACATTATCTTTGTTTTTCCTCTTTGAGGAAATTCATCTCTCTATAAGGGGGGTTCAAGAAAAGTCCAACCAAATGAGCGATTGGAAGAAAAAACTTAATTCTAATGCGCTTAGGGTCATTGTTTTAAGCTCACTTATTATTTGGGAATCATTTCGAGCTTTTACGGCCTATTTCGGGTTTTTACGAGCCGGGCTTTTTTGCTAAGGACCGGGCCCGCACGAATCTCAGTTTTAAGCCCCGGCCTGCTCCGGGCCTGTGTAAGTCATGAAAAACAGCGCACCACAAATTCCCGTCTAATTCAGAGTAGAGTAGAAGCACTGGGCTTCGGGCTCCATTCCTCTCTTTTGGAGTTCGTGCTGAATAGGGTTTGTGGATTTTTACTAATAGGGACAAGGAGCACGTTGAGTGTCCAGATTACAAAGATAAGTTTCTATACCGCGGATTTTTTTTTATTACTTTTTGTATTATTATTTTTTTTTCCATAGAACGATTTTTTTCTAAGTACTTAGCTTTCCCTCAGTAATTAATTTTACCTTTATTTTCATTACCACCAATTAATAATTGACTAAACACAGCCAAAAGTTTAATGATATTTTTCAGCAAAAAAATGGGTCAGCTCTGAAACAAATTTTAAAAAAGATGTATTTTTTATTTTTAAAGCACGAGGTAACTTGCTATTTTTTAGCTAGAGACTAAGTCCAACGGCATACCACAAATATTACGAGTAACACCGTAAGTATTACGATAATCATACTGGTGGAATATAAAGAAGCTTTGTCTGTAGCTAATTCTCCATCTAAATCGTTCATTTCTTGTTCCCGATTATATTTACCAGAATGAAGTTCACTCAACCGTTTAGCCACATTGGCATAGTAGAGTATCGTAGAACTATTTTCATTGATCATATAATTGCTCCCACTACCGCAACGGAGGAATAATTCTTCAGCCAAGCGTAACCTGTAAGGTAAGCACGCCAAAAGACTTTTGTTCGTTTTTATGTCCTTCATTTTAAAAGCACTATTCATGCACTGGAATTTGTTCATGCTGGTCACCTTCACAAAGCTGCACTCGCGCATTTCGTCAATAAGAAAAAATACCATTAGATCTACTTTTTGGCTTAAATCTGATTTAAAAACAGTATAGGGTTCTCCCTTTTTTACTAGAGTGCCTCTGTAACGTGTTAGAACTTGGTTGTAGTATGTATTGTTGCAGATTTGCTTCCACATCGAGCCATCTAAAAATCGTCCGCAGGCTTTTCTGTTTTGAACAGAGTCCCATCCTTTTACCATATTGGAAGACCTGACTGAAAATTTTGATTCATTTCTAATAGGATTATTTTTCTGTTTTTACTTGGTGCGCTTGACTTAAAATTCCAAACTTTTTATTTTTTTGATTTTTTTTTTAGATGTATTTGTATATATGTATTTTTTTTTTTTTATAACATTTGAAAGTTTTATTTACAATCTGTCCTTAGGGACAATAATAAAATTTTTTAAGTGAACCTTTTTAAGTGAACCAGTTTAATAAATACAAGTTATGAATCTAAAAACTTAATTTAATAAATCCAGTGGATGCTTCATATTGATTCTTCTTTTGGTGCTGCTGCTGTCCAGCAAATTGGTGGCACATGTGTTGGGATGTCGTGTTAGCTTGTCCTTGTATTTAGCGGCGAATCTTCTAACTTCAGCGCTGACTATAGGGATGCCTATGAGCATGAATGAATAGTCAAATTGTCATGGTAAGGATTAGCTCAAGACAGCGTCCTGAGAGCTCTGTTCTGTGCCAGCTGAATGACTTTTATATTGCTTGGACTCGCTGTGCCCCACAGTTGGATACCATACTGGCTTCACTATTGTCTTATATATTAGTAGTTTTACCCTCAGCTCCAGGGTTGACTTTCGTCCAATCAACCAGTTAAGATGCCGCAGCTTTTCCTGTATTTGCATTCGTTTGCGCAGTAGATGGGTTCTCCATGTTAGACGCCTGTCCAACGGCATTCCCAAGTATTTAGGGGTTGAGTTAGGTGGTATGGCAATGCCTCCAATGCTAATCTGTGGACAATCGCCTCTCCTCAAGGTAAAAGTTGTTTGGGCGGACTTATCATGATTAATTACAATGTTCCATCGGGTCGAGGGCATCGAGCTGGAGACACTCAGAGGCATCCTGTGGCAAGCTTGCCGAGGCTAGGAAAGCTTTGTCGTCTAGCAAATCTTCTTCATCTATAACAGGCATATTTGCTGTGTATAGTGTGTAGAGTATTGGACCAAGAACACTGCCCTGCGGGACACCTGCCTTAATGGGCCTATAAGCTGACCTTGCGTTTCCACATCTGACCCTAAATGACCTGTCATTCAGGTATGACTTGAGGAAGGCGTAATGCTCATGGGGTACGCTCCTTTTTATCTTCATTCGTAGTCCTCGATGCCGGACCCTGTCAAATGCTTGCTTGACGTCACGGAAAACAATATTTCTTCTTCTCCAGGCTGTTTAGAATCATTTGTACAATCCTGTGGCATTGCTCCGGGGTGGCGTGACAACGCCTGAAACCAAATTGATGGTCTGGAATCAAGCCAGTCTCGTCCAATACAGTCTGAAATCTGCGCAGAAATACTCTCTCAAGTATCTTGCTACTCTTATGGGTAGGAGATCGAAGCTGAGAACTTCCACTAAACTCCTCATCTACAAGGCAATAATACGCCCTATCTGGACGTACGGCATACAGCTCTGGGGAACTGCGAGCAAGACGAATGTCCGAACTATGCAAGCTTTCGAAAATAGAGCCCTTCGAATCGCCATATAGTACATACATCGCGTTATATCGCGTTATAGTACATACATATGTACATGTACTTTGTCATAGATGGCTTCCGTAAGGGATTTAAAGCCGATATTATTTACACAGACTTCAGTAACGCATTCGATTCAGTAAATCACCTACTCCTTTTGAATAAACTGAATATTTTGGGATTTCCTGCAGACCTCCTAACGTGGAGCTCCAGCTTCTTAAATGGAAGAGCACGAAGAGTCTTATTTAAATTTGTACATTCCCGCTTCGTCCGTGCTACATCTGAAGTCCCTCAGGGTAGTCGACTTGGTTAATGCTCTTGTTTTCTCATTAGACTTAAAACTAAAATTTGACGACCTTATTGCCTCAATGGTTGATAAGGCTAAAGGTGTCATGGGTTTTACTTAAAGTTTATTTATTTCTTTTGGTCCGTCCGATACTGGAGTGTCTGGTTTCCCCAAGTACACCAAGACCGCATAGAATCTTAAAGGTATAACTGTGATGCGAATCTTCATCTTCCCTCTTATCGTAGTAGACTCTTACTTACTTACCCCCCTTAATAAATTGTAGGTCAATGCTGGATGTCGGTTTTCTACGTAACCTCATAAATGATGATGAAGATAGTCAGCATTTACTAACACGATTACATTTCAATCTTCTTCATAGAAGGACTTGAAACTATGGTCCTCTATTGCTTAGCCATTGTAGTTTGACATATGCACAACACGACCCGCTTAGGGTCTTATGTTCGACTTGGGGTCTACCAACATACAATGGTCTCTACCCTATCATCCATTTCCTCAATTTTGAAAGAGCGCAAAATATATAAATAAATAAATATAAATAAATAAAAATAAATAATATTCAACTATATACGGTTCTTGTTGCATATTTCTAGGCATTTCGATAAATATCCAAAAGAATCATCTCAAACAAAAGTTCCATCTCTGAAACCGGTGGCGTGCAATAGTAACAGCTGATTGATTGTTTACATTTGTTTTTTGGCGGCATGGAAACCCCATCTGGGTCAAGTAAAAACATATTTAATAACACCGCCTGGGATTTAACACAAAGGAAGCCAAATAAAATATCTACAGGTACCCAAGGTATGGATCGACATTTTGGAGGTGGAATTTCATTGGGACATATTACTGAACTGATTGGAAATTCGGGTACCGGTAAAACACAAATGTGGTATGTTTTGAAATGATTTACTGAATAAATTATAGAAAAATATATTTAATATTTTAGCATGAATCTTTGTCTAAGTGTACAAATTCCAAAAACTGCTGGCGGATTGGAGGGAAGCGCTTTATTCATAGATACTCGGCAAGACTTTAACCCTCATCGTTTGCTACGTATGTAAGTTATTTTTTTATGGTAAATGTATATTTAAAACGCACTTTTTTGTTTAGAATTAGCGACTGCATTGGAAAGGCAATATGCTCACAAAGTACCTGACTTTAAAGCTCATAAAATGCTTCAAAATGTTCACTATGTTAGATGCTCAAATGAAGTTCAGTTGATGGCCAGTGTTTTGAGTTGTCACTCGCACCTGGAAAATCATAAAAATGTATTACTTTTTTTATAATTATTGAATTGCCAACTTAATGTGTATTCTTTCAGATCAAGCTAATTGTTATTGATTCTCTGGCGTTTACCCTGCGAATGCTTGAAAATAAAAGTAAGATGTTTGAACTGCTATTAGAGCTTCATGAAAGCATGAGAGAGTTGCAGCGAAAATACAAAGTGGCTGTAAGTTTCGAGGCCTTTAACTACCTTTCGCTTTGTAAAAAGTCCTGTTTAAGCAATATATGTATTTTTTTGTTGTTGTAGTGGGTGGTAACTAATGTGCTTACATATCGCGTCAGCAAGGAGCGTTTCCGTCTTGTGCCCGCCCTGGGAGATCTGCATTCTCACCTGATCAATGAACGCATCTGGTTTTCACGGAGCTGGCAGCGCTACGTGGGAAAGACATGGGAAACGTGTCGGCTAATTAATTCACCCAGCTAAAGCCAAATTTGAAATTTTGAATTTTCTGTATCGCTATGCCTTTTAATTATTTGTGTTTTTATAATATGCAAATTGTACATGTGAATAAGTCTAGGTATTTAAATTATTATTGCATTAAGGGGTTATATACAGTTGTGATATATGAAAAAATCGATTTTTTTTTTATTGCATATTCTTTAAGTATATTCTATTGGGAATACTCTCACAAAAATTCATAACGATCGGAGCATTGGAACAGAAGCTGTAGCTATTTATACCGCACTATCTGCATATAAAACTTGAACAAACTTGAAACTTTAAACGCGATTATCTCAGAATCTTTTTTTTGGGAAATTGCTTTTGCGGTGGACACGATTACTAAAAAACTACTAATCCGATCAACACCAAATTTTGACCACTTATTTATTATGATATTAGCTAGTCCGTGAACGAGGGATTTTCAATTTTTTTGAAAACTCCTTTTTTAAAGCACAAAAAACGAAAATCTTATACGTTGAAAAAGTACATTTTTTGTTAAAAACGTCGCCATTTTTTTTTTTAATCAAAATTTTTAAAAATCCCTCATTCACGGACTAGACAATACAATATACTAACTAAACTTTTTTGAATTTTGGATTTCTGATGAACCGTTTTCGAGAAATCATGTCCACCGCAAGACACCATCGAAAAAAGACGATCCGGGAATTCGGCTATAACATTTTTGTTATGTAATATTTTTTTTATGAAAAAATTTAATTAGGTACCCAGAAACATGTACTAAACAACGTCGGTAAAACATTTTTCATAAATATTTTCTATGGTGTCAAAAACAAATCGATAAAAATCCATATTTTTGCGCGGTACAACTGCATATAACCCCTTAAACGTGTAGTATTTTAAAAATTATACAATTACATTTTTATTATTTTTTACATTTGCCTTCTTAATAAGCGAATGAAAATGTTTTCCAGTGAAAAAATATGAAGGAAAAACTGGATCCTTTCGTTGGCCATTATTCGTATTTGGCACAGAAATCTAAGACACAACCAGGCGCACACCCAGCCGGCTGCTGAACACTTGCTAAAAGCTCCTCCAATCTGCTCCTCGCCGAGGCCCGTGATGCTATCGATGGCGCAGTTGCAGATTGACAGGCGAGCACTGGCTGATTTATGCGCACGACGCTGGAATGTGGCAAAGTGTAAAAAATGTTTACATATACGTACAGAGGCGACACCCAAACCAGGGTGCTAGTTGCTCTCTAGCTCAGAGGCTAATCACTGAGGAAAAATAAGCATAAGTTTCTAGTATACTTGGTACATAATACCCTCTTGTAATTCTACTAGAATGGTACTGCTTCCCATTTCGTATTAAATTTAAACTTTGTCAAGTTGTTCTGTCTTTTTTTTTAAGTGCTTTCCGTTCAAGCAGCTCAGGCCAGCAGCTAAGTCACGCATATGCAGCGACAACTAATTCAATTTCCACTTGCCAGAAGGAGGCGGCTGTTTAGTCGAGTGTGCACGCCTAATTGGTAACGCGATCGGCTTTATTGAGGCGCTGGAGTTGAAACTGCACTTGTGGCACTGACTCCAAAGCCGTGCCTCAATCTGTGGCAGCATCTGTGCGGTGTTGCTGGTTGCTGGTGCTTTTGCATTGGCTTTTGCTGTTGCTGTTCCTGCGGCTGCTGCAGTCACAGTCACAGGCTATCGCTGTCGCTCAGCGCAAATCCCATTACGTGCGATCCGTTTCGAGCCATAAACTTGTAACTGCCGCCACAGCTGCACACCCCCGCCCTCACACTGAGCCCCGCCCGCCGAGTTATACATCGACGGTGTTTCCTGGCTTCCAGCGGCGCAACTTGTCGCTCGAACTTAATTGCCTCGGTTGCGCTTATGACTTTCGTGGGCAATGCATCCTCATCCTCATCCTCCGTTCCGTTTCGATCCGATCCGTTGTCTGCAGCATTAGAAAGTAACTTCAACTGGCAAAAAGCTATCAACATCGGGCTCGCATAGTCTCCGTCGTCATCGCTCTCCAGTCGCGGTTAGTTGCTGGCGCTATTTTCGACACCGCCTGGCCCGCCATAAATTCCCGAATGCCCTGGTAATGTACTCGCGCTGCAAAATTAGAAATAGTCTGCCACGGCCAAGATATATTTACCACAGGGGAAAAAATTAACCACTAACTAGTGGCAGTTGTAAAAGTGAGTGATTGAAAAATAATGATTTATGAAAGAGTTATTAAAAATGCAATAAAAAGGATTTATAAATGCATTTATTTTACAAATAAAATGAAATGTAAAATTAGAGTAAGATAATAAGGAGTTTTAATTGTAAATACATTTTTTAAAATACAGACACATATTATAATATATCTATAAAATTGTAATTTTTTTCTCTGCGACTAATTTAGCTAGCTGGCAAGTTAAAAGTCATTTTCCATTTCGTACGGGTTTCAATTAAAACAAAAAGCCCAAAAAGCCAACAAACATTCCTGTGCCGAGCATGGCCTGGCAATTTGGCCACGACCTCGTGCTCCGCCAAAGTTCAGGCCGAGAGCGGCTAATTCCGCAACACCGCGCGACCGCCCCGATGGCAGCACCCGATAACAACAACAGCTAAACCCTCAACGACAACAACAACTACATCCAGCAGAAGGAGCCAGCCACACTGGCCGTGAGATAATCAAATGTTGGCCAAAAAGGATTGCACCTCCCTCGGCTGCATCGACTGGTAGCTGCCTTATTGTTCTTAGAAATTGTTATTAATTGAGTTGTACGGCTGCATTTTGGGAAGTCTTTCTTTTTTATATTTTGCTGCCCAGTGGGTGGCCCTTCGGCAACGGCCATTGACATGCATAATAGCCCGGTTGCGCTCATTTGCCCAATTCAATTTGGCCCGGCCATCAATAAGGCAAAAGTCGGAGAGCTCATTTGCATGCCCGTAATTTATGCTCATCAATTAGCTGATTAATTTATTTGGCGTGGAGCGAGAGCGGAGCATCATGCTCAAAATGCTTGTCTAATTAGATAAATGTGCTACATTAATGTCGACTCTGACATTTATAAAGCTTGATTCTGGCACAGATTAGTGATTTTTCAGACCATCCACCGGTTTTTATTGTTTTTGGGTCTTTCTTCTTCTGGAAGCTGGTTGTTTTGGGGGCTGACTTAATCAATTAATGACTGGCTAAGAGGGGCTAAATGGCCAGAAGGATTAACTCTAAATGTTTTGACATTTAAGCCAAATTAGTCATTTTATTGTAAGTCTAAGTATGAAAAAATTTGTGTTAGTATTAGCACTATCCCCGGATTTATTGTGAGGCCTTTAAGAGCTTTCCCTACAGGCTTTTTTTTGGACCGTTTTCCAGGTGTATTAGCCAATAAACTCCCCGCCTGAATTAGTTTATAATGTTGCTTATAAATGCCACTTGTCTGCTACGACACGGATGTGCCTAGATCTTGATCGAGCCTCAGCCACGGCGTGTTTCTCAGCGGCAATCTGCAACTGTCGTCGCTGTGGCAGAGCGGGCGGCGGGGAGAATGTGGAAAATATTTTAATTAAAACACAAACTAAACGTTTACTGCAAGCGATGTTATCCACAGCATTTCATACAAATAACAACGACAAGTCTAACCCGGCTACCAGTTGGCTCCGCCAGGAGCTCTGTTTCTCGTTGGCTTCTCTGTTGTTGTTGCTGCGTGCTGCAAATACAGCAAATGTTGCATGTAACAGCAGCAACATGTGTCGCACAGCGCCTATTTGAATATATATCAAATCAGTTTCAGATAATTTTCTATAACAGCTCGACACAGAGGCAAATAGGCGAAACATTTCTACGAGTTCGTTGCCTAAGTCTTTCGTTTCTCAGTTTTTCTCCACCGCTGCCCGTTTGGCTGCGAGTGCATATTTTACGCGCTGCATTGTTGCAAACGGATCGGGCATTGAAATTAAGTTGTTTTGCATAAAAGCGCCATAAAAAGGCGCAGCAGTTACGGGAAGGCAGAGATAGAGACAGAGACAGCCGCAATTGTGATTAGAACGACACGACAGGCACGACATGCGACATATGAGACGCCGTTGTGCAGCAACTGTGGCATCAGTTCGGTGTCCTTTACATACATATATGGCCAGCAATTGCCGGTCGAAAATTGCCAGCTCAACACGAGCGACGTATGTCATCAAATGGCACTGCCATTAGCGAATCGCCAAAGAGATCCTCTCGAGCGTCGGTGGCAGCTTCCTGTGCCCAGCGGCCATTGGCCAGTAGGGAAATACTAGGCTCCGAAACCCATCGCAGCAGCAGCAGCAGCAACTATTATCAATTTAAGTTGGCTAATTGGTTTCAAATTTATGGACCTGTATTTGATATTTATGTCGTCTACCCAGGCTGTGTGCCCCGCAATTTTGCCCATCGTCTGCCCGGCTATAAGGCCTCAATCCAATCCGAAACAAGCCGATCCATGCCGATCCGATCCAACCGTCGCTGCCTTGGCATGCTGCAAACAACGTAATTGGCTTTCAATTTGCAGCAAATTGTTGCAACAGCCACGACAACGGCGCAAAGAGCAACAGAGAAACATATTTAGATTATAGACGGATAAAGTTTATGTACGTTCTGTTCTGGCCGGGCGGGTTTTTGGTTCGTTCGAGGTCTTATGCTCTTCTGGTCTTCTGGACGGTTGGCCTGCTTCCTCTTCCTCTTCCACCATAATTCCAATGAGTTATATGCCCATCATGTGCGCTCCATGGCCCTTCAAAGTTGAAAACGTATCGCGCGTTAATTAAAAAAACAGCAACAACACCAACAATCGAAACATGGCCGGCAAAGAGGTTGGCCAGCAAAAAAATAATGCATGAAAAAAGCGCCAAAAATTCCGCTAAAATTTCGCTCAGCCGCAACGGTTCAAAATGGACAGTGTTCAATAACTAAATAAAACACTTGAGCCATTTTACACAGAAAGAAAATATAGAGTTTATAATTTATTAACTTTAATCATTAAAGTTTAAAGGTAATACTGCGTTTTAGTTGGGAAATTTTGCCATGTAAACAGTGTTGATTTATTTCAAAAAAATTTAATTTAGTATTTTAGGAATTTCCCAAATTTTCAAAAGTTATTTATAGATATTTATAACATTAATAAAATAATTAAAGAGTTCCTTAAAACATTTCAATTAGTGTGATAGGAATATGAAAAGCTAAGCAGTTTCTACTTGTCTCAGAAAGTTTAAAAATGTTTAACTTGATGATCCTATTTTCCAAGAATTTTCTTTATATTTTTCTCTCAGTGCAGGAACGAATATAGGGGAACCAAAAGCAGCCACAATCAAGCGAAAATTCCTGGCATTTTCTGCTTCATTAACAACACACTTATACTCACACAGCTCACACAACTCGGCCATTTCGTTTTGTTCGAGTCGAGTTTACCGCTGACGAAATTTACGCACGTTAAGACCCCCCTTTGTCCTGCCCCTCTGAGCCTCCGCACAACCCGTATCCACTCCTTTGGGGCCTTGATCATCCGATGAGCTTAGTTTTGTGAGTCGGCGGCTCTGTCTCTTTTTGGTATTTTAATTAGAAACCGAACAACGCAAAATGCATTGCTCGCCGGTCGATTTCGCTTTCTTTCCTTTTGGCCTTCTGATCTGTTTCGGCCTCTATCCGCCTGTCTTGGCCACTGATTCAATGTGTTGTAGTGCCCAACTTGCATTTGGTTTTCACATTCAATTAGCGCATATTTCAAATGCGATCGCCGCAATCCCAGCCGAGCATATTTCGGCTCGTTCCCTACAGGAAATGCTGTCGTTGGAAGACCGAGTCCTTCTCCACTCTATGTATATCTCAAGAATTTTTAAGATTCGGAAAAAAACGCTCCTGTAAGATCATTATTATTAAATAAAGAAGCCCCTAAAAGTTTTTGAATTTTTTGATTAGCCATTTTAAGAGCTGAGCTGTTTAAGGAATATTTGTAGTTGTAAGAACTTAGTCATCCATGAATAGAAAACATTTTTCATAAATATGTTTATTTTATCTTTTACTATTTTTATTGATATTATTTTATTGCTGCTAAATCAAATATAAAATAATAAATAAATATTACTACACACGTAAGTATGATACAATACAAAATCTGTGGAGTCTTAACCGCATAAAAAGCTACCTAACTACAATACGATTTTAAGGTCTAGATTATTGCGTACAATTGCGAACAACTTTTAAAGTCTAACGTGTTGTGGCTGGGGCTCAGCTTAATTTTAGGATTCTATTTATAGACAAAATACAATAACGGTAACTGCTAATGTACAGTATTTACATCTTAACTTAATTATCTATAGAAAACGCGCCGAACATTAATGAGAACTATATACAACTTGTGCTAGCCAAAGAGTTTTTTATTATTATTATAATTAAAAAATTATTTCATCTTTTTTTAAGAATGTAAATGCGCGTCTGGGTTACACTAAATATCACACTGTGTAGGATGTTGCTTAGCGAAGAAAAGAGTTTCAAAATTACATTATCTAACTTAATTTAGATGAGATTCCGGCGACAGGAGAAGAGTTAACTTGGTTCAAATAAAACAGTGTGGTTGAAACAATTTCGAAATTCAAAAAATTCGATTGGGGAGCCTTCTCCTGCTTGGGAATCTCCTAAGTCTAACCCGATTTCTAGGCTAAATAACACTACTAATGCACTTGGAAGTTGCGCCCGTGCTGTGGCAATTGGAACTTTGAGCTGGCTATGGGCGGCTAGTTGGTGGCTGAGATCACGGCTAAACCATCACAGTGGTGGCTAGGACATCGGCGCCTTCATCCGCCGGCGGCGGCATAGACTTGCAGTTAATCGACCGCTTGCCAAAGTCCTTTCTGGGACTGTCCAGCGAACCAACCGTGTTCTTCCGCATGTCCGAGTTCTGGGTCTTGTGCAACAGAATCTGGGAGCTGCGTTTGTGGGCCTGCTTGAGACCCGTACTGGAGTCCAGCTCGCGCTCAAAGTCGCAGGGCGGGAAGAGGGGCTGTGAACGGTGCAGAGCGGAGCTACTCGCCGCCGAAGCAGCCAGCTCAGGTGCGGGATTCAGACTCAGTTCCATTCCTGTGGTAGCACGCAGAGAACTTGTACTGCCCTTGAGTGGATTCGTGTATCGACGAAGATTCTCCTCGTTTTGCAGATTATTCGATTTTTCCTCCTCGTGACGCAGTGCATCCAAGGACGGGGTCAGATTCATGCCCGAATTGCTGCGGTAGGCCATGCGTTGCTTCCAATAGAGGCTGATGAACACGGAGAAGCCCACCAGGACTATGAACACACCGCACAGGACTCCGATCAGTAGGCTGTGACCCGAACCATCGGCCACTCTAGCCGTTTCCAGTTTCACCTCCAGAATGGAGGTTAAAGCAGCCAACTTGGCGTGCTGCAGTTCCAGCTCCTTGCGACGCTGGATGCCATTCAGCTGCCGCGAGCTAAGGAGCTCCCCCAGCAGGCCTACGGCCATTGGTAACTGTGGGTCATTTAGTTTGCTAGAAGACTGGAATGAGATATGATAATTGTTTTTGGTTATTAAATTTACTTACTTTGAAACAGAAGGAATAATCAAAAGAAAGAACAAGTTCTTACCACAGTTAGTTCAACAGTGTCATTAGTTCCCGCCTTGAGATCGCACAGCACCATTAGCTGACCTGCCTCCTGGCCAGTGGGAAAAGCTGGTTGTTTCACCAATTGGGCAGCCAGGAGTACTCGAACCAGCGAGCACAGGCCCTCCACCGAAGCACCCCGCCCCACCCTCTCCAGATCCAGGAGAATCGTCAGGCGGGCGCAATTTTCGTTAACCGCCGCCTGATTGGGCCAACAGCTCGCCTTGGCCGGAAGATTGGGCGGGGCCACTCGACGAGATGGCTCCAAGGCCCGACAATCGCCACGAACATTGCAGGGTGGTGACAGGCAGGATTCACTTAAAGCTGGGACACAGACCTCATGTTGTTTGCAAACACCAGACAGATTTGAAGACTTCGATAGGGGATCCAACTTGTAGCAGTTGGGCAGTCCGCACCAGAGATTTGTGCACTTTGAAGTTCCGTTTTCGCAAATGCAGGCATTGCAATGATCATCGTCGTCGCTTCTTCCGGTCAGAGCAATATCCAGCCAGTTTTGGCTTTCGTTTAGAGCCGCATAAGGGGAAATCATGTTGGTAACGTTTAAACAGGCTGATTTTGGATCGGACATTACTGAAAGTGAGAAAGTCATATGTTAGTTTCAATTCCTAAAATTGAATTCGTATTTCACTTACAAATTTCACAGCGAAGGCCGTGACGACCGGGTGGGCAAATACAGCTGTAGCCCCCGATGCCATCGATGCAGGTGGCGCCTCCTTGGCAGGGTTGCGGCGAGCACTCGTTCACGTTGATGCGACAGTCCGGGCCGGAGAATCCCTGAGCGCAGACACATCGAAACCATCCTGTCCCAGACTCACAAGTACCACCGTTGTGGCAAGGCTGTCCGCGGCACTGGTCAATGGCCTCCGCGCAAAAGAGACCCGTCCAACCAGGGGCGCAGCGGCAGTGTGGTTGCAAGGCCTTGTCCGGGGCACCGGGCATGCAGGTTCCACCGTTCTGGCACTGGCCAGCATAACAGCCTGTGGCACGTTCTGAGCAGCGCTTGCCTAAAATAATCAAGAAAAATAAACCATTTAAATAAAAACATAAATGATTATTCCAATCCCAAAAGTAAACCAATTCAAAAGACTTGGGCAACAAACTTGCTAGTTATGTGGGACTATTTTTTTGATGGCAGAGAGAGGATTGCCATGACCGCTGTCTTGACTTGAACTAATTGAAAAGTAAAAGTGTGCTGACATAGATCGATGTGGCCATATCTGTATCTAAATTGTGGCCAAATCTATTTTCGCTTTTCTGTATCTGTATCTATAGCTGTATCTGTGACAAAAAAGCGAAACGCGTGAAATATGCAAATCGCAAATTAAAAACAAACATAAATCATGGTAAAGGTTCGGCTTAGCTGGGTTTACCCCCCTCGGTGCTGCCACATGTGGCAAATACGTTCGCCAGTGACTGAGACTAACGTGCAGATAGTTTTTTCTCCTTTTTTAAGCTTCGGCTCAGCCGCATTCGCTTCAATTTGAAGCCGTAATGACTGCCGACTTTCAATGTTCAAATAAATGCGACCGCCTCTATCGGCTGGAGTAGTTTTTTTTGTATGTCTGTATGTAGTTTCGCGGCTGTGTGAGAGCCTAGCGCTCTTAACGTGGCCAACACTCGTCCCGCGCCCATTTAAAGCCCCCAAGCGTTGATAATGCGCCAGTCTGGCAGTCGGCTTATAGCAGGTTTCTTTTTATATTTTGGTATTCCTTTACTAAAGAGTTGCACAGAATTCTTTACATGTTACAACAAAAATTAAAATAATATCAGTTTGAAATCTTTCTAATTATACTGCTTGCTTCTTTTAAAATTCCCTACTTGAAATATAATTTTCCCTAGGGTATTAAGCCTTCGGCTTTATTTTTCCTCGACAGTTTCTTGCACTTGTTGCAATGCCTCAGCGTTTAACGTTCACTTTGGCCGCCGCTTAAAGCGCACCCCATCTCTCAGCCCAGCTCGTCCCGTCTCAGTTCAGTTCAGCTCATCTCTTTCCGAATCAACTCACCTGTCCAGCCCGACATGCACTCGCAGGTAAAGTCGCCGTCGCCGTCAAGGCAAATTCCCCCATTTCGACAAGGATTCGGCGAGCATTCGTTGAGATCTGCGGAAAGTTAATGAGTTTGCCGTTTTGGAGTCGGATCGTGGTAACTTGGCACTGGGTCCTAGGCTCTATACTTACTGTGCTCGCAGAATGTGCCGGTGTGGCCCACATGGCACTTGCAGAAGGTGCCCACGTCGCTCATCTCGCAGCTGCCGTGCCCGCTGCAGGGCAATCCGCTCGGTGTCGTCATCGTTGTCGTAGTGGTTGTTCCTGTTTTTGTTGCCTCACTATCAGAAGTTGTTGTTGTCGCCGCTGTCGCCAGGCTGACATTAGCGAAGCAGCCCTCTGTTGGATTGGGGAGACATGATTAGGCTTATTATAGCGGGATACACAGTGGGAAATATAACTATTGATTGAGTCCTTAGTGGATTACAAGACATTAAGAACGAAAATCCCAGTCCATGTTTCTAAATGCAATTCAAAGTTTATCTGGATTAAAGCTTAATTATTCATTGAAAAATTTTGAAAATAATCTATTTCTCTTGTAAATCTTTTCAAATTTTTAAAAGTGCAAGCCAGTGGATTCTTACATACAAAAAAAAAAAAACAAAAAAAATCTGGTAGACTGCGATTGATGAGCTTAATGATGTCTTCATCGGACAGAGATCGGTTCCCATGACTTCTCGGAGGTCTGGGCTAATTCTACTCACCGTTGCAAGGCGGCTGCGAGCAGAGGGGACGCAGTTGCTCGCAGTGTTTGCCGGCTCGATCTGGTGGGCAGTGGCAGTAGTAGCTGCCGGGCGTATTGAGACAGTGGCCCTGGAGGCAGGGCGACGATGCGCAATGGTCCTTGGCCTCCTCGCACAGGGAACCGAAGTAGCCCAGAGGACAAATGCAGTTGAACTTGCCCACCATGTCCACACATTCCCCGCCATTCCGGCAGGGTGAGGTGGCGCACTCGTCGATGTCTATCTCGCAGTCCCGACCCGTGTAGCCGGGCGCGCAGGCGCACCTGTAGTCGTTGACCAGGTCGATGCAACTGGCTCCGTTCCGGCACTGGCCCATGCAGTCGTCCAAGTTCTCAGCGCAGGTGGGTCCGCCCCAGCCCTCCAGGCAAATGCAGGAGAAGGACCCTGGGAGATTGCGGCACTCTTGGGCGTTGATGCAGGGTCCGATAGCGGAAGCGGATGCTACGGATGATGCGGAGGACACCACGGCACTTGTCAGGGCGGCCAGGAGTTCGGAGCTGGTCAGGTTGCTGCCAATGATGGCAGTGGCCGTGGTGGTCAGCAGGGAGTTGGCCTGGAGGCCGGGGGCGTGGGGAGCCTCGCACTCGTTGACGTCCTCCTGGCAGATGTCGCCGCGCCACTCGGGCGGGCACTCGCAGCGGAAGCCTCCGATTAGGTCGACGCAAGTGCCACCATGTTCGCAGGGACCTCCGGCGCACTCGTCGATGTCTGGTTAAGGAGAGCAGAGGGAAGAGAATCTGGTTTAAAAGCCATTCGCTGATTATGATTAAAAATAGTCTGAGAATGGAAAAAAAATTCCAGTCCTTAATATATTATTTATTTTTAAGAATGTTTTCTTTGACCCTTTTTTTCTCAGTGATGGTGTTGATTTGGCTCTTGAGCTCTCGAGCGGCAAGAGCCCGGGCAGGTGGCTCTTGGCCAGAGCCAAAGTCATTGAACCGAGTTGCCTGTTCGGGTATTGATAGCTTAAGTCTGCGTGCCTGGCTTATCGGTTGCCTGAAATCGGCAAGAGACGATGCTTCCCTCATTTTTTCCCTCCACATCTTCGGAAGCACGCAACTTATTTGTTGGTTTTTATGAAGAGATGATAAGAAATGCAGGCTAACCCCTTGGGTCGCCATTAGTCAGAAATGAGGTCAAGTTGCATGGGGGGAAATATTTTTGATAGTTGTGAAATGTTATCGAGATGTATGCATTACGGCCAAATCGAAAGCCCCTTAATTGGTAAGAGATTTCCGTACAAGGCGTTCTGATTATAATAATAAAATTCGTTCATCGCCGCTTACTTCGTGGCTGGGAATGGCAACTCAATTAGCTTACGGCTTATTGCATTGGCTGGCCCATAGTTTCTGGTGAATGTGGCGGTGTTGGTCGTGCTCCAATTGAAATGCAAAACCGAAGCCAACCGAATTTGCCGGACCACCGTGGCCACAACAAAGATCATAATAAAGCCAGCGGCACCAACAACAGCCTGTGCGTGCTACGTTTCATTTCATTTCATTATATTTCGCTACAGTCAAATGCGTGTGTGCTCAATTGCATGATCGAGCGGCAAGCAAACGGCCAGAAAACAAAACAACCGGCCAGCAGTAACCAGTAACCAACTTGGGTAACTTGGCCATAAGCCGAGCTGTGGCTAATCGCGTGCTGCAGAATAAAATTAAATCAAAACTCACTTATTTCGCATGTCGGTCCCGTCCATCCATTCGCACAGCCGCAGGTAAACTCAGCGGCTGGAGGCGGCAACTGAGAGCTGGAGAACATCGAGATGGGTCTCGATATATCCATAGAACCGGACCCGGCGTCCGGCCCGGAGCCTGAGGTGGAGTTTTTGCCGTTCAGGGAGAGCATCACTTCACGCAGGTGGGCCAACTCGCGCGAGGGAATCGCTCTACCAATCGAGCCCATGCCCCTCATCCCCCTCATGCGATACACTGGCGGCCGTGTTGTGTTCATGGGCTGCAGAAAAGTCAAAGAAAATAAAAGGGCATTTAGTTTTTTATAATCTATACAATATTTTCAAGAGCTCCAAGTCTGGATGGGGGCAATATTAAATTATTTTATGGGTCTGCGATAATGGCATAAATCGCGGTCTTGGCTTACCTTGAGTGTGCATGTGCCGCCGTTGCGGCAAGGCTGTGTGGCACAGGGGTGCTCCACGATCTCGCACTGCGCGCCGGAGAGACCCTCGGCGCATGTACAGCGGTATTGGTCCGGTGCGGTGTTCTCGCAGGTGCCGCCGTGCTTGCAGGGTTCATGGGTGCCACAGTAATTTAAATCTGTCCAGGGCGAAGCGAAGCTATGAAATATATGCGTATAGCCGATGTGCAGCATCGATGTTATCGATGATGCTCCCCATTCCCATTTACGTTCCCAGTTTCCCATTCCCACTTTTATGTTTCCACTCCGATTTCCATTTCACAGGTAATCAGAGGTAGGTCACTTACCTTGGTCGCACAGTATGCCGCCCCAGTTCGTGTCGCAGACGCACTTCCAGGCGCTGCCGTTGCAGGAACCGTGCTTGCAACCGGGATAGACCATGCACTCGTTGCACAACGGGCCCCGCCAGCCAGGTCGGCATCTGGAATGGCAAAATGGGTGATGAGTTTCGGTCTAAAAGTGCTGTTTACTGATTGAAAAATGGAGCATGTCGGACGACCCCCCATAAAAGGTTAGGTGCAGTTGAAGGATTCTCAAGCGAAGATTCCCCCTTAAAAGCAGATGAGCTTGGGACCCCATATAAGCAAGACTGATTACAAAATTAAGCATAGCTTCATGGATTGATTTACATGTAATTTTTTTAAAGAATTGCACAGATGTTTTCCCATTGTTGCTAAATTAAGCTTAATTTTAGCGATAAATTAGGTTGGTTACTTAATAGGGCAAGGAAACCTTCCAAAGTGTTTATTGAATAAAGACTTCTTGAGGTAACCCCTGATTTTCCACCATTATTAATCTTGCCAAAAATGAAGACCACTTATTCTTTACAATTCAATTTTGGCCTGGGAACGCATTTAACTTGGGCCAACCACCGAATTGGGTCACTTTGAACTTTGGCCTTGATGCTTCAAATGCTAAAGTGGCAACAGGGCAGGAGGCACTTCTGCAATTGCTGTTCCTGGACCAGCTCTAACTATTGAAGTGGTTTCTGTTGCCATTGGTGGCGGTGTTGCGATTTTATCGCAGCAACACGCCAAAGTGCAGCGGGATCAAAGTTAGCCATAGCCGGGCTATGGGCCATCGGGCATCGAGCTCCGAGTTATCGCCTGGCGAGGTGCTAAGTCTACAAGCTCCGGGCATGACGTGGCCAGAGATAGTCGACATCGCAGTGTTCGATGTCGGTAATTTATGATTTCATTAAAACGGCAGCCTGGTTGTTATCTGTAAACGAATCTGCGGCAAGCTGCTCCGCGCCGCGCCGCGCCATCCTGCCCGATCTGCAACCAGACTGCAAATGGAGCAAGCAACGTGCAAACAGCAAAAGTAATTTTTCTTCTGGCTTATAATTGTTCCGACGGAGCGGAAATCTCTTGGCCGTGGTTTTGATGTTTTCTAGGCCACACTAATTATTGCTATTTAGAACCAGGACGAGCGGCGATGGGCGGGAGATGGACGGGAGATGAAGGTGGCCTGACGAGTGCATCATGATGCAGTCGAGAAATGCAATCATGGCCGCCGGCTCACGTATTCTGTGTTACGCTGCAACATTAACAACGGCAATAGCAACAGCAACAGGCAACAGCCAACAACCAACAGCGGGGCAACAACAATTGCCTCAACTGCAACTGCAACAGGAACAACCGAAGCACAAACGTTTTTTCGTGCTGAGGCTGGTCTTTGGTTTGTGGCATCTCTTGCTGTGCCACTCGCTCCATGTTGCCAACGTCTGTGCATGACCATTTCGAAAGGGGCGGGGACCGGCCCATGGAAGAAATTGCTGGATGCCGAGCGGTGGGCCAGATGGCCAGGCTTTTTAGCTTTTTAGCCCGAATCAGCATTTGGCCATCGTGCGGGCGTTTGATTAGCCCGTTCTCTCTCGCCAGTTCTGTAGTTCGGGCCACGGGAATCGTATTGGCTCTGGCTCTTGATTGCAGATTATATGGCTAGTTACAACTTTATAGCGCTCGGGTTATCTCCCAAATGGCCAGTTACCGAGTGCGAACAATTTAATAAGGAATGCAGTCTAGCGATTGATTGGTGACCTCAGTGATTAGATCGGAACACTGGAGTCTAGCGGATGGTAAAAGTGGTTCTTTCCTGGCTATAAACTTTAAAGGAGTAATACAAAAAACTCTTACCCTTACCCTTAATGTCATTCATTACTTTATTTACCAGCCAATGACTGATTGCCAATTCTCTGTGAGAGAAACGCTGTCCACAATTTCACACATTCAGCCTCGAAAAAGATCAACAAAAACCAGGCATTGGCAACAAAAACTACAGCCCCATGTGAGCCATGAGTATAGAACCCATTTCTCTGCCACTGATCGCATAAAAAGAAAACTACTCTTGGCCATTATAACTGTGCGAGTGTGAGAGCTGGAGATCCGCCGGTTCGGGGCCAGGGCCATTAAGCGCCCCGAAGTGGCCGAGAGCCCGACGGCATGCAAAAAGTGTCATAATCACATCGTTAAATGGGGTGGTGGCCCCGGTCTAGGCCGGGGTCGCCCGGGGGTATAATTACAAAATCACAAAAAATATAAAACTTATACGGCTACTTACTCGCATTCGCCGGGACGGTCGCACTTGCCGTGGACGGGATCGCAGCCGGTCTTGCAGATGGCCTCCTCACAGTTGACGCCCTGCCAGCCATTGAGGCAGAGCTTCTGACCCTCGGAGCCGCAGGCGTAGTGACCGAACTGATCGTCCCGCGACCGGCAGAAGGTCGTGCAGGTCGTGTTGTAGTAGGTAACGGCGCATTGCACCCGGACACGGTAGGTGATCCGCGCATTGCGACCGATGTGGTCCAGTGTCTTCCACTCCGGCGACGGCAGTATCACGCCCGAGTATGATGTTTCCTCAATTAACCTCTCCGAATCTGCATTGTGGATTGGATGCGAGCGTGGCATGACAATTGTTGTGGATGTCGTCGACGTTATTCGTAGTCGTATTCGTATTCGTTGTATTCGTCGTTGTTGGTGGCATCAACGTTGGCGTTCCAATAGTTTGGGAGTTGCGGGTTTGAAAAGAAATGGAGGTGGGGGTGAAGAATTTAGTCGGATGTTGGCACCATTTCAGGCTCTTGTTGGTGACACTTGGAAAAAACTAGGTTCCTATAGTGTAACTTTTTTTTAAAATAGTTTTTAAAGGACTTTATGAACAACAATTTATATTTATTTATAGAACTCGTTTAAGAGTTTGCTTGAAAGCAATAGGTAACATCCTTTAATATATGTACTTTTTTCCAAGTGCATCCTCCAGAGACTCCATTTGCTAATTAAGCCAAATGCCTTGCTGGCTTAACAATAACGAGCAGCGTGCACTACAGGCAACATGCAACTTGCAACTTGGGACAAGCACAAGCCTCCAATTGCCACCGCACTTACCTGGATAGGATGTGTTGTACATATCCAACGCCTGCAGTATCAACGTAAACGACTTCTGTAATTGAACGTTGCGAAAAAGGAGGAAACTTAGCATTAGTTTGGGGCTTTCAAGTTTGACTCTTCGGGCTGACGCTAATGGACAGTTTAATCTCAAGCTCCATGCAAATGAAGACAACGAAGCGGCGGGCACAGCCAAACACAACAAAAAGCACCAGAAACACCAACAAGCAAACAAACAAACAAGGCGATCAGACAACAAACAAAGCAAAGCTAAACACTTTAATTTCACGCAGGAGAGGCGGACTTTCTAAACAGACTCTGGCCATGTCCGTGTCTCTGTCCATGGCATTGCAATTGGCCTAAACAAAATGCGAAACGGCAACAAAGACCCACTTCTCCTCTTGTTTTAAATGCTCTGCTCCAGTGGGGTATAATAAATTCGGAAAGATGCCTGCCAGACATATCAGTTACCTCTTCGAAAGGGTATGCGAAGATTAGCCTTGATTTCCCCAGCAGATTGACTTTGTTTATTTATTTATTTTTTAGTTTCATCCTACTCGGCCTGGCCCTATAAAAAATTGAAGATTCGCTGTTTGTTGTAATCGCCGAGAAGATTTCTCGTTGGGCAGAAAGCAATTAAACGACGACGTCGTCTGGTGGCCGCCGCTGGATGCCAGGAAATGCTCATTTAGCAGTGGGAGGTAGCCCCAAGACGATCAGGAACCAAGGGGCTTTGCGAGGGGATTCCCATGTAATTGCCTTGGCGACGCGACACTAAATCAGTCCAGAGCAGACATTGGCTAATTGCAGTCGGACATCAACAACTTGACACACTTTGCAAATCCATCTCCCCAATTGACAACACGGACTCAAGTTTCCATTCGAATCTCTCCACCCCGTACTTCTCGTCATATGGGTGTCGGATCGGTTCAGTTCCGGGCTCGAGCTAAAATCATATTCTCTATGTCTGTCGCTTTTCGATCTGCCATGTGCCAGCGGAAGTGTATCAATTAAAAATGGCGGGGAATATGGTTTTGGATTTCATTGAAAAATTCAAATTTGTAAAGAGTCGAAATGGCAGACAGACACGAGCCAATGGAGGAAGGTCTGGACTAGATTTCCAAATAAGTACATAAGCATAATGCATTGAAAATAAATGTAAAAATCGTACTATATTTATTTTTATTTTCGCTGTCAAGTACCATTTAATGAGACAAATGGCAGCCACTGATACGAGAACGTCCGAGCAATGGACTCTTCTCAATGGAAGCTAAAGAAAACGTCGTTTAAGCCCTGGCCATATTTTTTTTTATTTGTGGGGGCAGCAAAATAGATCAAAAGCCCACAAAGCTTAAAAAACACGCATTTTATTTGGGCAGTCATTCATTGATCTTGAGCAAAAAAAAAGGTTGAAAAAAAGTGGAACAGGTCCATCTGTCTGGGGCCGAAGAGGCACCACAAATTCCACTCGAGATCGCTCAATGGCTGCGCACGCGCACTCCAGATCTTCAAAACAAATGTGGAAAATATTGTCAAGTGAAATTCGTTGGTTGTTAGTGGTTTTCCAACAGCTCGAATGTTGGTTGTTGGGGCCCTATGTGAAATTAAAGTTGGTGTTTGACAGATACATCGAAGGCCCGCTGTTACCGCTGTTGAGGCTGTTGCCGCTCTTGCCGTGTTGTGATTTTTATGATGTATGTGCGCTTGAGCTCAAGTATTTCCGAAGTCATGTTTGTAAGACTTAACATGCCATTCACTCAATCAGCAGCAGTCGAAGAAGAAGTCATTCAATAAAAAGTGGGACAATTGTGGCCATATCGGCAGCCAACACTCTTTTTTTTGCATTTGATTTTTTTCGTTTTTTGAGTTTATTTTTTTGAAGATTTTCTTGAGGCTTTGTGAAAGGCTTCTTGAGGGTGCCTGGCTGACTGACTGCCTAACTGCCTGAACCGACTGAGCAAATATTACGCCGGCAGTATGCAGAATTTGCCAGGTTTCGTTTCGGCACCCAGTCCCCTTCCCCATCCCCACTGCCGTTCCCAGTCCAAGTCGCAGTCACTGAGTCAGTCACATGTGCTCAGCTCGGAGCTCGGTTTGGGCCAAAAGGAAAAGCACACTGGCAAAGTTAAAGCAAAAGATTAAAGCGAAACCAAAGCGAAGCGTAACGTATCGCCATCGCCATCGCCATCGGCCGAGCGACAAGCGCGACAAGGTAATGTTCCCACGAAACAGGTTGTCCGCACTTCAGGCCACGACTTGGACTCGGAGTCAGATTCGGCTGTCGGGGATGCGGAAGGGGGGTGAGCCGGTGGCAGGGGCAGCCGCTGGGACAGGGTAACCAAGAACAGGCATCGAGGCTGGTGGAGACCCAGAGCCCAAGACCAAGAGCAAGACCCGGCTCTGACGCATGCTTGCTCCCCTTCGGCCACCCGACCCGCCACACCCCGGCCACAGGGAGACCTGCCTAATGTAAGCGGCGGCGCATGCGCATGCCAACGTCGGCGTCGACGGCATCTGCGACTGCGATTTTTAATTCTACCATACTGCACTTAAAAGTTTTATTTGTTAAAATTAGTTTAATATACATTAAAACTTGAGGCAAACAGGGTTTAATTTTTTTTTAAATAATTAGAAATATTATTTTATACTTCGAATCAATTTTAAAATTTTATCTTCGCATTTAAGCTCTCATTTTCCGAGTGTTTAAATACGACTGCTTCGTTTGAATTAGTTGGCCACTGGCCTGTTCAAGGCGTGTAATTGGTAACCAAGTTAGCTTCAAAAACCAGCAGCAACAACAACCAGAACAACACCCGTACATAACACAACACAACAAATGGCAAAAAAAAAAAATTAAAATTAAAAAAAAATTCTTTAATTCTGCGACTACACCCAGTCAAGTTACATTTTTACCTTAACCGAGTTAGGAGCGGACCTGGCCACGTTTATTTTATTTGATGTTTTTGTGATTCTCAGACTGGCTGTGTGCTGTTTTATTCCTTCCCAGTTTTGGCAGTCATAAGCCCGCATTATGCTCACTTAATTAACCGAAAGCCGCTTAGGAGGTGCCCCGAAAAAATAAAACGAATAAAACATGAAACTCAATTTTTAATTGCTTTTTCGGCTACTGCCGCGGCGGCAGAATCCCCACACAGGCCCAGACCAAGAAGGCCTCTTGGTCGGAATGACTAAGCCGCTTTTGGTGTTAGTCGGGGTTTTTGGAATTTTCACGCCCGATGATTTAGGGTTCTTCGTACTCTACAAGTCGAGCAGCCCACGCTGGAATTTGGCCACACAATATGGGGAAACGAAACGAGAGCGCTGCAACGCTTTGGAAACCCCCCGATAGACTATGCCCTCTTTATATATAGAAATATATACTTCGTAGGGTCTTATCAATGCGGCACGAGTACGGCTCATTCACATTTCTGTTGCCGGCTCGACCTTATCGCCTCCTCTGCACTTTCCAAGCGGAACCGTCAGTTCGCTTCCCCATCTAAGCTTTAAAAAAATATAATAAAACCGCAAGTGGATACAACAGAAGTGAGAGCTGAAGACCAACCCGTGCCAAAAGCGTGCTTCTTATTTAGTGGAGGGAACAGTTTCATTATAAGCCCGGTTAGTTGTTAGTTGTTGTGGGAAATGCACTTACCGTCCATCGAAACGTAAAGGGCAGAACAATGGCTCCCACGCCCGGATCACTCAGCACAAAGCTCGACCCGCCGAGTATCTTGGTGGTGGAGTTGCCAAATGAGCAGCCCGTGGATATGCTGGCACCCTGCTCCGTGGTCTGGTATTCCTTCAGGCACAACCGGAAGGCGGTTGTGCATGGAGAGCAGCCTGCCAAAAAAATTACCAAATTTTAGCACGAGTTTGATAAACGCTTATGTATTTATGTATTATAAAATATATAGACAGAGTCTTTCAAATGATAAGAATATTTAAGAAATAGATTTGAAGAATGCAGAGTAACAAATTCCAGAAGCCCTGATAGGCGAAAGCCTTGACCGCCTATGTTTTTTTTTTTATGGGGCAAGATAAGAAGCGGACTTTAAGACTAAGAAGCGGACTTTGAGAAGCTTTGGATTAATAACTTTCTTGAACTTACCCATCGTTTTGGTGGCTCTCAGCTCCGATGGCATGCCACAGCAATAGCCATTGAGCAGATGGCTGTTGGTATTTGAGATTTCTAATATTTCCAGCTCGAAGTTACCAGCTGCGGATATCTGTTAAACAGAAAGCAAAACAAAATTATCGATCTGGCGTAGTACTATGGTCATAGTTGAAAACAAGCGAACAAATCCCAAATCGTCTAAATCAATCATGGCCCATAACGAAGGCCCAAGCGATTCCCAAACTGATTCCCTTCCAAGACACATTCCTCCTCCTGCCCCTAGCCGAGTCCCAAGCCGAATAATATGCTCAACACTTTATGGATCTGATCCGCGCGGAGATGCCCAGCTCGTTCGCCGGTTGTAAAAGCTAATAAGCCACCTAGGGCGCTCTGATTGGACTGCGGTAGAGGTTTTAATTAAAAACAAAAAAACCAGTGGATAGATCGATACAAGAGAAGAAAATCAGAAGAAATATGCCAGACTCAGAGGGAGAAACATAGGGTTTGGTAGGCAAATGAATGGAGCGCCGGACGCGACTGCCGACTTGATAAATCTAACAGCAAATGAAACACGAAAATAATGAGAAAATATTTTCCCCACAAAGCCAGCTTAACTGTACAGCAGATTGGAGTGGCTATATTTTCGGTGGTGCTAACGCTGGTGGTGGTGGTTCGGGTCAGTTTGTATAATTTAGAATGCCTTTGTCTGCCAGCTGGAGACGGGAGGAGTAAGGAAATCGAATGGGTATTCGGGGGCCCATAGATCTGGATATCTGGCGATCTGACGGTCTGTACCCAGAAGTGGCCGCAAATCATGCGCCTATCGATTGGGGCATTTGCCATAAAATTAATAACGCATTAGATCGCCGGCCTTTTCTCTTCCGAATGGCCCACTGATAAATGGGCGCATAAAGTTTAGCCATTCTGCAAAAAATCGCTTATCATAATTTAGCCAGAGAGCAGGGACGCATCCATGCCACAAAGTGGTAGTAGCCTCTTGCAGCATCTTGGCCATCAAGTTTGTATTTTAAAGGTTCATTACCGCTGCGAGAAGAGTGGTCCTCTTCGCGGAAAATATGCTAATGAAAACTCTTAGGCCGCGATTCCCGACTTCTGCTTTTATGGTTTCATATTTCAGCAAATTTATTGTCATTGGCTCTGGTAGCTGGCAGTGTTGATAAGTTTATTAGAAATAAATTGCAATTTAGCCTCTGGGCCAGGCTAACGGCACTAGCCAGTTAGCCAGTTTAGCCGGAGCCTGCACCTGCAGTTCGGCAAAAAATATCTAAAAAAACAAAACTCCAAGTCGAAGCCACATGCATTGTTGATCATGCCATAGATCAATCAAATGCATCGCCCCGCGGTCTCCGTACCCCAAACTGTGGCAGTCTGTGGCAGTCTCTGTTCGGGCAGCTCTTAGCGTTTTCTTGTGATTTCCTTTTGTTTAGCCGGGACTTCAAACTGATTGGATTCTTGATCGAGAGAACCGGTTGGGGTTGTCGGTTCGGACCTGCTTACTATTTATTTATCACATTTCTTCTCCGAACTCCGATGCGCCTCATTCATGAGGAGCAAGTGCAGCTGGCTCGGCCGGGCATCCGCTAATATTCCGGGCAAACTTTGACGTAATCAATTCGATTAGATAAACCCGATGAAATGCTTAAGGAAATTAGTATCGCGGCGCCACAAGTAAACGGGGGCCTCCCGAACCTAATGAAGCCGACACACGAACTTAATGTGAAATTAAATTTTAATTAAGCCCGCAATCGAAACAAAACGTGGCCATAAATGTTTTCTGCAGCTCAACGTGGGAGCTCGTTTTGCCAACTCATTTCGATCCGGCCTGGAGTCTGGCCTGAAGCCTTTCGGCTTTGGGCTTTATGCATATTTCGCAGTCAGTTTAATACGCAGCTTATGATCAATAAATGTCAGCTCAAATGAGAGAAACCTTTCTTGTTTAAAGTATAATTTTCGTTTTCGGACTGATCCTTGCGGGCCGAAATAACTGGGTTAATTTAAAGTGACGTGGGCTCATGTGAACCGCGGCGATATGATCTGGAAGTTTTCCCTGGAAGTCGGCCATAAATCGCCGCTACTAAATATTTAGCTTTGATTCACTTCATTAACAACTAAATAGTTGCAGCCGGAGGGGCATCCGTTCCTGTTGCTGCCGCCGGCGACTTTTATCGCCTCGCTTACCCTAAATCAATGCAATCCCCCTGCTCCCCCAGATAAATGTGTGTAATCAATTTGATTACCCCAACTCGGACTCGGACTCGGACGCGGTCTTGGACTCTCGAATTCCTCTCGGATTCTAATGTCCGACTCTGTTTGGTTCTCGACCCGGCGTATTAATCAAATTGTTGTTTGTGGTTATGTGCCCAAAAGAAAAAAAAACGAAAAATCTTTCGGCCTCTGCAGCAACGATTAATTTTTATGTATTTTTGAACCGTTGGCTGCCGTTGGCCGTGTGGAAGCCTCTCTAACTTTGGCTCTTTGCCTGTTTAATTGCCGCTCGGGGCATCTCCGCTGGCATTTCAATACATGTTTAGGCACTTTGTGTAACACTTTATGACGGGCTACACCCCGAAAACCCCAGACCACGGACGGATACAGTCAGCCGACTACCGTTGTGGGAACCATTCGAGTAGAGATGGTTTTGAAAGATAGCCCCGGCCCTCTAATCGGGTGGATCACTTTCCAAAAACGGGGTCCTCGCATCCTCCAAGTCGGACGTTTTCTTCTCAATATAACTTTATTTAAATACCAGTTAAATGATTGAAACTTTGAGACTATATTGTGGCCAAGTGCGGCTGTGAAGTGGCTGGTGAATTGATGGCCTTTTGGTATGCCAATAAAATAAGAAAAGCCATTACGTGGCTTTCTGTTTAACAACTCAATTTTCTGAAGAAAAACTATTCTACTCGAGTTACAATGTGGTTTTTATGAGTTAAAGGATTATAGAGTCCTGGTATTGAGTTTTTAAGTCCAGCCGTATAGTTCCCATTAAAGTAAACTTTTATGGAAGCGATGCTGATAAATCACTCAAAAATAACCCCGAATCATCATTATTTACCTACGTCCCCCATCAAAACTTTGCCCTCAGCTATTGCCAATTCACATGGGTTGAATCAACTTTGAGACACACTACACCCGCATGTATCTGGATCTGGGGCTTTTTTCGATTATTGCCTTTAGGTTTGTTCGGTTTGTTCTGTTTTTGGGCTTTTGGTTTTTGCATGTCGAGCTGACTTACCTTATGGACTAACAGTATTAAAATTAAAGCAATTAAGTTGCAGGCAGACTTTAATGATCGACAATCGCTGATCGGCGATGGCAGGGCCGAGAGTTCCCGGTGCCTTGGCCTCTGCCTTTTTGTCGCCATTGTCTTTTTGGACATTCTCAGGCTGTCTGATGTTGCTGGTGATGATGCTGCCGATGTTGCTGTCGTTTGTCCAGACGATGTTGATGTTGATGTTGATTTTCGCCGAAAATGTTTTCTAAACATTTTGTACATTCTGTGGGCGTTTGTGAGCGTGATGCTGGTCGGAATTTCGTGGCGATCTTGATGTTTATTTGTGTTTTTGTTTTTGGGATTCACTTTGGGGCTAGAACAACCACAATTCCTATTAGATAGCGACGCCTAATTAGCCCATATATGCAGATTTTTAGCTCTTGTCTAATTTTCAATACACTATTTGAGAAACTTTTTATCCTCCGTTGTTCGAGGGGCACTGGAGACTATGGCGATTCTGTATCATTTTCTTTCCTGTGAGTCGGCCGTTTGTTTTTGTTTTGTTAATGTTGTTATCACAAATTATTATTATAATGGATTTTTATGTGTATGGGCCTGGCATGTACACATACTCGTTTGTTTTCTTCACTTTTTAGCACTTCCACACTAGATACGCGATGTTTGTTGCCGTTGTTGATGTTGCTGTAACAATTGTCGAACGAAATGGAATTGAAACGAGTTGCAAAGTGCTTGTGGAAAATCTATTTCAATGCATCATCAACGCTAATTGACACGCAGTTGCTGCATCAGAAGTAGCATCAGCAGCAGAAGCAACAAGTGCCACCACCAGCCGCAGCAACATTTACTTTTTTCCGTTTTTATTTCATTTTGTTTTACCAGGGCAACCGCAAGAGCAGCAAAAGCGGCAACGTGCACCAAATGCAAATGCAATTCAATTTATGTTAATTTAACGCTGTTGCTGATGTTGCCGTTGATGTTGCTGTTGCAGTTGCCATTGGTTTTGGCTGTTGCTGGTGCCATGGAGCCAGCCGTGTCTTTGGCCACAAAACAATTTGCATCTTGTGCGCATATTAATTTACAGATATTTTCACTCTTGCCCACATTACTCATTCTTCCTGCCACCCTGCCACCCGGCGGAGTAGCCTTTAACCCCCCCGCCCATCTGCCATCCTCCGGCATCGAGCGGATGGTGGCCGGGTGTTAATTGTCCATTTAATTAAGTAATTTGCTTGGGGGCCTCCTCCCAGCTTTTGCACGAAACGGAAGTCGTTGACTTTGAATCGAAACCCAGATGCTGCCGCTGATGTTGCTGCTCTGGCTCTTGCTGCCGCTGCTGCAAGGCATGACCGGAAGTGGCTTTTGCAAGTGGATGATGCACTTGCTCACTCCGTCCTCCCCCGAACTTTCACCCAAATGCAGCACTTTTTACAATTTGCGGAATGATGAATGAATTGTGGGCACATTCAAATCCATAAAAACTATGGAATGCCCTATCTTTGGTTTTTAGTCAGTCTTATCAGGGTGTTGGGGTTTTCTAGGCCTCCCAAGAATGCTATAAGTTTTTTGATTAAACGGGCAAGTATTTGAGGGAAATCTTGAATGGAACGCTTGGATTGCAAGCCATACATTATCTTAGGGGTACCATATGGTAAATAAATGGTTGTGAGGCAGAGCATGGAGACTTTACCCCGCACTTTCTAGGGATGTGGGGCTTTTCCCATGATCGTGCCACCCTATCCAGAAGCTATTCCCTCTTCCTTATTTATTATTCTTTCACTAGGCACAGAAAAAAATTATATTTTTTTAATAAAACTTGTCAGATTTTGATAGGAATACTAAAAAAATCGTCAAGTATCACTCGTTATTCTTCCATCATCTAACCAAAAAAATATTATATTCTTATAGTTTTGAAGTCTCAAAATTTTTTTTCAAGTGACTATTATTATTTGTATTATCATTGTGGATTATGGGCTAGTTTTCATTTATTTTCTTTCATTCTTTCACTTTGCATGTTTCAATTCCATTTCGTAGCATGTGTTTTTTAATGTCCCTGGCGTGAGTATGTGTGCGTTATCGATGGAGCGCACTGTGGCGACACTAGGCGCGAGTGTGTGGGGCGGCGACTCTTCTTCGTTCGGTCGGTTGGTGGGTGAATTCGCACATTGTTTGCACTTTTACTTTTCGACTTTGATTAAACACAATTTTTTACGGCATTGTATTTTGATATATACTTAGTATTATTGTATTTAATTGAAAGGTATTTCCGTTTTCTTTTGCTCACACGATGATTTGTGGCTTAATCACATAGCAACAATCGCACACTCACTGGCACACTCAGTCACACACAAAGAAAGATACACACAGTGAGAAAAATGTCGGATGATTGTTGATCTTTTCATTTGCTGCCTTTTCCGACATTCACACATTCAGTTGATTGCTCTTCATCATTTGTTGTAATCAGCAAGCAATTTGATTCGATTGCGGCACATTTAACACTTTCACAATTGCCCGGCGATCGTTCGAGGGGGGATCGGTGATCGGGGATCGGTTGGAATAATATATCCGATCATCAATAGGTGTAATCCAGATTCGGGAAATTGGAAATTTACCGTTGCAGAAATTGGCTCATCACCGCTCGAAGCACGGCGCTCAACTAATGGCCAGACCGAATCCTGCGGCGCTTTCAGCCCTCGAGCAGCATCCCAAACGAGCAGGGGCGGAGCAAGTCACGAGAGCGAAAGAGTGCTGTGCTACCAAAAGTGGTAGAAGAGAGTGTCTGTGGTGCTGTTGTGACTCGAAACCACCAAAACCGAAACGGAGACCGAAACCGAGTAACCACCGCTCTAAAGTGGTTGGACTTCCGTGCGCTTCAGGCCTCGACTTGAGACTGATTGCCGCTGGCCATTTCGTTTCATCGCTCGGACTTGGAGGCAAATCCAAAACATAGGAACCACAGATCGTAGCTTCCAGCTCGAAAACTTGTTCGAGAGACTATATCGCCAGAGACGGAAAGAGAACTGGAGACCCTGGGGCACTATTCTCTCTTCGGAGCGAACCGGTTTGCTCTTTGCTGAGTGCTCTTTAGCCAGGCGCTGATTGGTCGTGCGCTATAGCCGGCTATAGCCTCCGGGCCCGGAATCGGATCGGAATCGGAATCGGTGTTGCTAATGGAGTTGCTGCTACTTCGGCTTCTGCTTCTGCTTTTTGTCAGGGCCCTGCTTTGCTGCAGCTTCGGATGCTGCACGCATGCGTGGAGTTTTTTGCGCCCGAAGCAATCTTTGGTCCGCTGCTGTTTTACGATTCCAACTTAATTATGTTTATAAATGCAGCATCCAGCAGATGGGAGTACATTCTGTGCTCTAGTTTTGGTCTTGGCTTAATTTTTATGGCTTGCTCCGGGGGACAGACAATTAACACCTGTGCTGTCCAGGGCTCTCCCACAAATAGCAGGGCATCGGCTTCGGATTGATTGGGGATTTAATTCCCATAGCAATTAGGGAATTAGCAATACTTGATTTATAAAAAACTTAAGAGAACATGATATATAGTAAACAGAGTAAAAGAGTAGTTAAAAAAATATATACTGAAGAACTTTTAGAAAATGTGTTTCAGACTTTATTTTAATCGTTTACAAAGGGCTTAAAAGGTATCCTTAAAAGAATATAATAGCTCCATAGTATACATATTATTTCCCATTTTATTCATCTTTTAAATGGAAACCCTAAAGCCGATTCCCTTAAAAGAAACATTTAAGTCATAATCGTAAAAAAAAAAACCCAAAAATAGCAAACAACAGTTATGGTCTGGAACTACTATCCAGAGGAGACAGAGCGGCGACATCCAACCAATTATATGCTGACCGAAAGTGTATAAATCAAATTTAAATGCAACCGGCCTATCAGCGTGGCCAAAACAAAAGACTTAAGCAACAAACTTGGCAATTACAAGCGAACAACAACAAAGATGCTGCCGCCTGTCCGATGCTTCTGCGGCTGCTGCTGCCTTGTTTTTGTTGTTGTTAGCGGCTCATATTTCTTGAGGCGCATATCTAAATATCGAATCATGTTGCTGATTTGCGCTGCCGCTCCATTGTTGCAGCCACAACGGCAGCAGAGTCTTCGGCATCATTGACTTTTGTCTGCCCACTACTACTCCTGCAACAATAACAACAAAAAATAGCAACTGCCACAATAGCAACAACTACAACAACAAGAACAACACATAGTAAATCTTATTGTGCCGTTGTGACATGACTCTTGTTCGACAATAGATAAAACAAATTGACTTGGTGTGTGCCCAAAATGTCTTCTCTAGACTTTTTTGCTATTTGGGCCTCCGTCCGCTTTTGGTGGGCGTAAGTCCATGGCTTTTCCGCTGGGCAGCCGCGGTCTTTTCAACCTCCTTTGTCATCTTTTCCTACAATATATATTTTTCTTCTTTTTTTTCTGTTTGTTGTGCCTGTAAAGGCGGGAAGAAAAACTGCACTACAATGCCCATTATCAACTTACATATCTGCGACAAGAAAGAGACCCCAGAGCGGCAATTGTAAGGCAACAGCATCACCAACGGCGAGGCAACGGCAACGTTGTCCAAATATGTTGCAAGTTGGTGTTATTCTTCACACGGCATCATAAATTTCACGTATAATTGACGCTTTCAGTTATATCAAAATTGGCTAAAAGGCGACGAAACATAAAAAAAACAAGTTTGCGTTGGTGGCCAGCTTTTCTGGAGGATAGACTCTGGAGATTTGAGCCCGAGTCTCGGGAGATATTATTTTGGCTCGCTTGTTGCTTACTGTAGCTTACATTGTTTTCGTTTTGATTTCAGCTAATAGCAGCCGTCTTACAGGTGTTTCTTGTGCCTCTCATAATACCATAGTGTGTGTGTTGGAAACTGGCCTGCCTTTAATGGCATTTCTTTGTTAAAATTAGCTTTCGTTTCGGCTGCCACTTGGAACAGACAGCTGCAAAAGTGGATCATACGGCAGTGGCATAAATCTATAAAATCAAACATATTGAGTAATCAAAAGATTCTGCCCTCAAACCCACCACCAGACCCTCGACAGGGGTGAGCAGCACACCCGCCCCTGGTCAACCAGTTGGGCGAGTTCATTAAACAAACAGGCAAATATGTTGGCAATTTCAACCAGTTGGTTTTACACGACTCAACATTTTATGACAGATTTTTCAAGTGTCTTTTCCGCCTCCTCGTTTTATTTTTTTCGCATTTGGTTTGTTTATATTTTCGGTTTCAGTTTTTTATTTTCACTTCTGGTGGTGCTGCTGTTGCTTCTGGTGGCGGTTTGCGGTTAGTGGTTACAGGCTAGTGGAAGTGTCTGCCCTAAGCCGAAGGAGTTGCCGACATAGCGTTGCCTTAGGTTAGTTGTTTATGAACGCTTTTATTGGCACTGTGCTGGGTCAAAAGATTTATGGGCCATATTTTTAGCGAGAAGTTACGGGCACTTGAAAATAAACCCTAAAGCCAACAGACTGGGAATTAGGACTGGGTTTCCAACTATGGTTGGCCCGAAAGTTTACTCAAGAGATCTGCAAGTATTATCCTAAATGGCACTTTGGTCTATTAAGCTAAGTAGTTGATAAAGTATAGTAAGGGGGATGCAGTAGAGTACACAACAAAATATTAGAGGGCTGTGTCTTATCAAAAACTTGTATCACTTCTGAGAACCGAGCCACCAGGCTCCGAAAAGTGGTTACTTTTTGGCTCTGTTTCAAATCGACTATTCATTGCCCATCATCCATCAACCTGACCACCTGACCTTAGCCCAACAATTTGTACCACCTTACCACCCGAAAATGGAATCACAGCACTTGTGAACCTCACACATGTTCGGCCCATCCGGGGGAGGGATAACAGACATAGGTACGCCTCATTTAACCCGAAATCCACCCCTAGGCTCTACCAAAGCAAAATCCAATTGCAAAATCAGTAAGGCAAACATGTTTCATACGCAACGAATTATGACACGAACAAAGGCGATTAATTAGCGGGGTAGAGGGTTGAAGCGTGTGGGGTGAGGGGAGAGGAGGGTATGAATTTATAAAGTATAGGGATATATTTCAAGATCATGGAGGGTTGATTTTGTGATTGCGCCGACGCAGGCGAGTAATCGAGATGGCTGCGCGTGCTCATGTGTTTTCTTATTTTTTTCCTTTTAATGTGCAACTGTTACACAGTGATACCCAAACTGGGAGGGGGTGGACGGGAGGTGGAGCATATATCGAGCCCATACTTTAACCCATACACGTGCATATGTCATTTTTATAGCGCTATACGTGTTTGCCATAAATCCATAACAATATGACAAGTACAAGTACTTTAGCGGCAGCCTCTCTCATGTGCAACATGTTTGCACGTTCACGCCACCGCCGCCAGACTGCAGACAGTACCGTAGAGACGCCCTGGACTCCAGCCGACTCCAGCTCCGACTGGGACACCTTACCTTCCATTTGGCGATTGCGATCGCGATTCCAGTGCGCTCGGGATGATCTTCACGCCATGCACCTCATTTGTGTACCGGCTGCTATGTTACTTCCCCAGCATCATCATCAGCACATGGAAAAACAATTTAAATAATAAATAAACTATGATGTAAAGGATAATAATTATGCATATAAATGCAAGAATTAAAAGTGCAATTTCTTTAGGAATTTAAAAAAAGGTTATATCACCGTAATAGAAATAGATCCAAAGCGAATAGATTTTATAGGGTTGAAAATTAAAGAGTAATTCTTTGAAACAATTAATAATGTTTTATTTTAAAAAGTTTAAAACGTTAATACATTAAATCTTAACCTTTATAAGCTTTTATATATTATGGATCTCTTATTTGTTTTCAAACTAAAAGAAAGAATAAAAGAACAAAGATAAAATTAGAAAATACAAATAAAAAAATAAAAATCAATTTCCCTGGTTTATTAAAATCAACTGTATGAGGGATGTACTCCAAGTATAATATGAAAAGTATATAATAATTTACATATTTAAAAAACAACTGTCGTAAAAACTTTAAATACGACTTCTCACATTAAATTTCATAATGTTATATTTTCCTCGGTGGAGTAGAAATATTTCGCGCTACTCGCCGCCGCCTGACATGATTTACATGAAGTGAAGACGCACGTTTTTATTACATTTTCGTGGCTGTAAGTGCACCCAAGGCAGCGTCAGGCCCGGCCAGCCACCTAAGCAACCTAGCCACCTAAACCACCACCCAACCACCACCATTACCACATCGTCGTCAGCGGTTAGCCTTTGATTTGCGGCAAATGTTACGCACTGGCATGAAGGAAACCCAACAGCTGTGCAAGTGGAGGGTTAAAAGCGCGAATCATTTATCATTTTTGCCTGTTACAATTTTCAAGTGCATAAAATGCTGTTGTCTGCCGCCCTAGCCCACTTGCCCGCAATTAAACAAACAATCAAATCTGCGGCAACCTTTCCAAAAAAAAAAAACAAAAAACCCTCGCCGAGGATCATCAACAGCGTCGGGGTTGGACACTTGTCACTGTCCGGATAAATGTCGCCCTTCTCGTTGGCGGCTTAAGTCGACGTTTTAATTTTAGTCCAGTGCTTGGATTTCATTTTGTGGTTTCTAAAAAATTGAATACTTTATTCATCGGAAGATCGTAATCCCCAAATGGGATTGCTTTAGAGTAATCGCTTCATTTATGGAGGATTTTCGGGCTTATTAAGCTTCATTAGGTTTTAATCAATTTATCAAAGACAGTAAGAAAGGGAGTTGTTAGGGAGTGGGTAAATGACTGCTCATTTGGGGCCAAGAGTTGTGTTTACATAGGAAAGACATTTGTTACCTAGGTGGTCCCTTTGGTGTCTCCCCTCCCTTTGGTTTTT